ATGGGCCCTGCCAACACCAAAAATAAATGAAATCAAAACAGTACCATGAGCCTTCTAAAAAATTCTTTTTTTTCCTGTCACCTGCCTCCGGTGACATCAGGATCTGAACTGCAGATTTTAGAGAAAATACTGATTCTGGGGAAGCATCTGTTCAGATGCTAACCTTCTATACCCCCCCACCCCAGTTTGCTTTCTAAATAATTCAGTTAGAAGTAATTACATAATATTTTTAATCTGAATGAGCAATTTTATATTGATACATAGAAGAAAAAAATTATGATTCCAGTACTGTAGTATGAGCAGATAGTTCTGTGAAGGTAAGGACCACCCAGGTATGCAAAGTGTGGTGGCCACCAGGGCTAGACTGAAAAGAGAGTTGGTTTGTCCAGAAGCCTGGAGATGCCAGGGAGAGCTGACTTTTCATTCTGAATTGCCTTGTTTCTTTAACTTTGCTCAGTTGTTGTATATAAACAAATATATACATATATATGTGTCATGTGAGTATTTTTAAAATTTGTCAATGTGCACACATGTAGGTTCATCCAGGTTGTATCTATACAGAGGTGTTTAAGGGGCAGCAGGCTGAGGTTTCTAGTTTCTCCACAGAAGGAAACTTTTCAAGGCAGTGTGGAAAAGGATCACACCTTAGTCCTGCCCCTACTGGTGCCTGAGATGTTCTTGAGAAAAAAAAAAAAGAAGAAAGAAATAACTTGTCCACTTTTTATGATATGTTCTCACAACATGAAGCTATTCACCCTAAAACGTTCACTGGAACCCAGGACCAGCACAAAGGTCTCTGGAATGTTAAAACTATCTAATGTTCTTCCTAAGTCCAAAGAAAACCTATGAATCTTGAAGCCCTACTTTCTACACAGTGTATGCTCTCATATAACATAAACCTCCACAGTCTTGATTTAGGGGGTATGTGGAAATTTCAGCCTGTTCCTCTAACATCAGCCTTTCAGTTGCAATCCTGCCAGCTCAGGCCTGCTGGGCCTCACTGTGGAGAAACTGCAGTCAGACTCACCAGAACTCCCCAAGCAAGCAGCCTGCATCAATTCTTTCCTCTCAAGACTTCAAGCTCGCTGCAGCTTGCATGGTCTGGGGCAGGGTCACATTTCACTGGCAAGGGCCATTCATTTCTCTGGGGCTGGACTCTTCTCTTTTGAACCCTTGTCATTGTGTAGCAATGGCATCTGGCTCTGGGACTGTGGCTCCTCCCACAAGGTGCAGGCCTTGAGTTGACTTCTCACTTGTCATGGGCATGGGTGATCAGGCTGCTCTGAGCATGGAATGACAAGCAAAATGCCTCCTTTGTTCCCCCAACCCTCATCAGAGCCTCTGGAGAGGCCCTACAGAACCCTGGCCCTACTGCCTCTAGCTGCAGACCTTTCTCCAACTTCTGCTAGGTCTCCTCAAGGAGCCCCCTCTCTGGGCACCTGAAATGTCTTGCCCAGGGCAGGACACCCCCTGCCTCATGGCTGCACCTGTGCCTGGACCTTTCCATTTTGCACAGTCCCGCTCCATTAAGCCCAGAGTGATACCCAAGATAAATCGTGAAATTAAGGAAAGCATTTTATTGTTCATTTCCTACATGGAATGTAGCCGAAGAATAGCCTTCTTAAGACAGATAGCCACTGAGTTTATTCAAGTAAATGGTCTCATTCAAGAGAGTATCAGGTTACATGTCACTTAACCAATGCAGTTAATGCACAACGCTTCTATATTTTTTAATCTTATTTAGAACTGTCAAACAATAAGAGACAGTCTATTGATCAATAAACTTCTGGAAAAAATCACTATTGTTCTCCTGTTGACTCTAGAGTTTGAATGTTGCCTGATGTCTTAGTATGGAAGTGTGGGTTCCTTGGACCCATTTTGAAATGAGATGGAGAAGTCAGGGAGAGGGTGTGCCTCCTCTCCACACCATCCCTGTGACCCTCAACTCTTCCTGCATCCTCTTTGTAGGGAGAGACTCCCACATGGAACATTCAGCTAGGGACAGAGGAGGCTCAAGCCCCACCTGAGAGGTTAAAAGCCAGGACTGCAGGTAGGCTCTTCAGAGGTGGGGACAAGGCATTGCTGAGTGTGCTCCTAGGAGACACAGGCCTGCCTGGAAGGACCGGCGGCTGGCACTGCTCCTGCCTCCTGCAGTGCCTCACAGATGTGCACCACCAACAGTGAACATCTGGACTTTTCCCTCTGGCACCATATATTGTTTGGGCAATGCAGACCTGGACTATTCTTTACATACCCCTCCCCTCTTCTAACCTAAGTGCTGAGCAATGAGAATTAGGTGAGCTGGACCCCAACCCCTCTTTCCAGGGTGGGTCCTGATTGGCTTGAGCCAGAGTATTCCATCCCCTAGTCACAGATATTTGTTCAGAAATGGATCTGTCACCCAATTCAAACCTCTGAGATCCAGGGCCTCCCAATTCTTGGGAAAGAGAGTCTGTCTTCTCTTCAACCCTGCAATGCAAAGAAGTGAGCCTATTGGTACAACAGTGTGAATGGCACTGAGAGGGACGTCAGGCTGGCAGGAGCCACCCTGTGGAGCATGAAGATAAAGGAGGCTTTGAGAAAGGCAAAGGAAATCCAGACCTGTGGCCTATGGTGACACTATTTGAGCTGCTAGATCAAACCTCACCTAAAATCCTCTTCCTGCTGCATTTTTCAGTTATGTGGCCAATTTAGTCTTTTTTTTTTTTCTGTTTAATTTCTGTTGAAATTTCAATTATTTACAACACACACACACAAAAAAAAAACCAAAGTTGACAGGCTGGGGATGTGGCTCAAGCGGTAACGCGCTCGCCTGGCATGTGCGGGGCGCTGAGTTCGATCCTCAGCACCACATAAAAATAAAATAAAGATGTTGTGTCCGCCGGAAAAAAAAAAAAAAAACAAAGTTGACACTGATCAACAAAGTTCTTTGACCAGGAGCTGCAGTCAGTCAAAGTGAAAGAGGAGATGGTCTGCAGTAACTTTAGGTGCAGTTGATCTAGGGAGAAAGAAAAGCAACCCCCCTAGCAACCCCCCTGCTCCATCCCACAACTTCAAACAACCTCTGTCGAGATCTGTGTACAAAGCACCATGCAGTTCAGTCTTCCTCAGTGCTCATACAAGATACCTCCTAGGCCGAGGGTCTCAGGAGAGGAAATAAGCCCAGTCATCACTGGGGTAAGGAGGTAGGTGGGGTCTTCCTAGAAGAAGCACTACTTTAAATGGGGCTGCTAGGACAGGAGAATGTGGATGGTGGGGACAAGGTAGGACAGTCTAAACCAAGAGAATGGCTGGCACCATCCAGGACATGGAGCATCATCCACAGAAGCTGCCTCATCCACAGAGGGAGGCCTCAAAGGCCTCACTGAAGTGGCTCTGACAGGCCCAGTTTCTCCCGGCAGGTAATGAGCAGTCTTCCTACCTGGGGCAGAGTGGTGCTGTGGACAGTAACCAGGCTTGGTATCCGGCTCTGAGTTCGGGCAGTGGGGACGAGGCCCTGCAGGGACAGCAGTGCTGAAGCAGTGGAAGTGCTGCTGACTGGATCTGAGCCACCCGCAGGCAAGGAGCTGGGCTTAGCTCAGGCATGCAGCAGGCCAGCCAGGGGCAGGAGGAGCTCCCTTTTGAGCACATACCTCTCAGCAGCTGCCTGCCAGGGGCTCAAGGGTTCAGAGCTGACCTTGCCCAGCTCTCTTCTCACAGGCCTTGGCCTCAGAGCATTGTGCCCCCTCCCAGAGCCTCCAGGGTCACTGTGGTTATATACCCTCTGACCCATCCCCAGCCCTGAGACTGTGACCCTGAGTTTAGCCACACAGTTGTGTGAAAACACCACAATTAGAACTTGCTTTCCCTCTGGCAGTCCAAGGTCACCCAGGGAAGGAGACAGGAGACCATCCAAGGGCTCTGAGCCCACCCTGCCCCCAGGCCCCAGGCCTCAGCCAGCTCTACAGAGACCTGAAGAGTGAATGATGAGTCTCTGGTTTTATAGGAGACTCTCTTTTACATAGTCATTTGTAGTTCCAGGTCCCCCACAAAAAGGGGGGACTTCAGAAAGTAGCCTCCTGGGCTGGAGGGAGCCCCACCCCAGGCTTTAGCCAGGTTGGCTGCACTTCTTCCAGGACCAGGAAAGCAGGGCCACCTTCTGATGATGCCCTGTGTCTATGGCTGTTCCTGGGATGGGTGAGAAGGCTGCTGGCCAGCATGATCCTCCCATGCTCCACCCTGCAGGTGCTCCCCAAGAGGCCCTTTGGGGTACAGGAGGGCAGTCCAGATAGGAAAGTGGGCCCACAGGCTTCCATCCGGAGGCTCTGCCCAGACTCTAGCACCCTCACGATGTTCCCACCAGAGGCCATTTCCAAGGCCTCTGTGTTCTGAGAACCAGAACCCCCTGATGACAGGGAAAGCTGCCAGGGGAGAGGGGTGGCAGATGAAGGAGGAGACCCCCAGCAATGGGCCTGGAGCATTCTTGAGCCACCCCCTCCCGTCTGGGCCACTCCCTGAGGCAGGTGGGAGGACAATGCAGCCTGTGTGCCATTATCCCTAGCAAGCAGGCTCAAGAGGAGGGCTGTGGCCTGGCCCCAGCTCCACCCTAGGCCTCTCCTGGTGCCTCTTCCCTTGCTGCACAGCCCTTACTAGCTGCCATCTCCATCCTTGGCCTCCTCCCCTGACCTGGACATCATCAAGGTGAGCAGTCCCTGTTTCCCTTCCACCTGCCCTGATCAACCCACAGAGCAGAGGCCAATCAGCTGTGGTCAAAGGACTGGTAGCAGGGGCTCTGAGAATATTCTGGAAGGTGGGGTACACCATTCAAGTGGCAGCCAGGACTAGACCTTACCTAGCTAGGCTCCAAGCCACAATCTCTACCAACCACAGAGACAGTGTGGCAGGTGGGGCCCTAGACTCCTGGCAGAGGGAACATCAGAACACACACTCCTCCCTAGCTCCATGCCCCACAATTTTCAGGGTCTGGGAAACGTCCAGAGGCCCCTTGTCACCAAAGGGCTGCAGGTCTGGTGTCCAGTAAGCCCCATAATCCCCAGAAGATCCTTGGCTACAGGATACCTGCAGCCAGAGGCCCAGCCCCTGAGCTCGAGTCCCAGTCCAGGTCCTGTCATGGCTTCTGAGTACGAGATGGGCCACATCCGCCAGCTGCAGGCTCGGCACACGCATATGCAGGAGAAGACTTTCACCAACTGGGTCAATAACATCTTTCGGGTCGGCCAGGTGAGTGTGGCTGGGATCACCCCCAGCTTGGGCCAGTGGACATGGGGTCAGGCTGTCAGTTCATTGGCCTGAGGCTGCTCCGGATCCCACAACAGAACTGAGGCAGAGCTCCTTCCTCCTAGACAGCTGCTCTGGCCTCCACCTGCTGGATCCCAGGATGGGGTGGGCAGAGCTGACCCTGTACCTGCCCATCCCCTTCCCAGGTGGGTATCAAGATCCAAAACCTGTACACAGAGCTGGCCGATGGCACTCGCCTACTACGGCTGCTGGAGCTCATCTCTGGAGAGGCCCTGCCAGCGCCTAGCCGGGGCCGCCTGCGTGTGCATTTTCTGGAGAACAACAGCAGAGCTCTGTCCTTCCTCAGGGCCAAGGTGGGTTCCGGGGAAGTGCTGCTGTGTGTGGTGCTGGGCAGGCAGCAGGAACACACTGGATGGTCATCTTTCCTAGGCTGGGCCACAGGGTAGAGCAGAGGTTCAGGGGCCTGACTAAGAGAAGAACAGCTAGGTTACAGAGGAGTGGCATTAAAGGCTTTGCCCAGCACTCTGGCTTGGAGAACACCCAGCCGGCTGTGGCAGGAAGCCTATTGGGACTGCAAATGTCACTGTCTATAAGACAGAACTGCAGAATCCAACACCGAAAGAATCTTAGTGCTCTCTTAACCTTCTTATTTCATAAAGGTTCCTGCAATTATTTACAGACAAGATCCATGACCAGGCAGCAGAGCCCAGATACAGGGCCAAGGGAGGCTGGTGGAGAGTGGGGGAAAAGGGGGAAGAGCCCCAGTTACTGAGACAGGCAGCAGGGAGAGTACAGGACCTACCTTGCAGGAAGAAAGGCCTCAGCAAACAGGAGGAGCCTGAGTCACCAGAGAAAGGGACAGGCCAGGGAGATAGAAGCAAGAGTTCCTGAACACAGTGGGCCCCCATGGCCAGCACAGGGGTGGTTTATACTGGGGAGCAGGAATTAGGAAGGTTCCTGGCCTTGGGTACCGAGGCTGTGAGGTGCTGTCCTGGAGGCTCTGGGCACTGAGCTGGGCCTGGCCAGGATGGGCCTGAGTGCGTGAACCATCACCTAAGTCCTGATGGAGGTCACCTATAGTCCCTGGAGCCTGGTGTGCTGGAGAACACCAGGAAGAGAAGAGCCAAAGCCAAGGGAAGGGCAGCAACTGCAGTCCCTAGCACCTGGAAGAGCAAAAAGCTGCCAGCCACAGACAGCCAGTTCCCATGCAGTCCAAGGTCCTGTGAGCCAGTCATCTGTCCTCCAGGATCTTGGAAAGGGTGTGAGTCCCATGGCCTTTGTCAGAGGCTTTGCAGCTCTCCTTAAACTTTTGATATATGTCCCTGATACCTGTGAAGGTGACATCCTTGGTTCCATAGACATCCAAGGCCAAGTGATCAAGACAGGACAAGACAGCTGCCCCCAGACATACTGTTCATTAAAGTAGCAGAATGTGGAACACTGTCATTGATGGAGACAGAGACCTTGCCACACACTGAGCATTCTGTAGCCCACACTAGGGATACGATAAGCAAAGCCCAGACCCAGTTTCAGGGGAGACAGATTAGCTGAATGCAAATCAGCTGTGTTCTGGGACACGTCCTACAACTGTCTGGGGGAAATCAAAGCACTGGTTTATGTCCTGCTAATCTCCGAGGCATTAATTCTCTCATCATGACCAAGTTCAAGCTGCCAGCTAACATTGCTAAACATGAAGCTAGTAGGATGGGCCCCAGTGAGCAGGCAGGAGCGGACTCCAGTCCTTTCCTGTCAGGCCACCCCACTAAGCAGGTGCCTCAACTCCAAGTGCAAAAAGGATGAATGTGCCAGGGAGAGAAGGGAAGTGCCAGGGCATGGAGAGGGGATCCTTTAGAGGGACCCAACATCCAGGGGAAGCTCTTCCCTCAAGGCTGGTGGTCAGCCAAGGCCACTTGCCTTCCAGGTCTTAGGGATCAAGCGTGTATATTTGGGTGGGAGGAATAAGCCTTGGGTTTCAATTTTATGTAAGGTGATCAGGGTAGGCTTCCTTGAAAAGTGACACTTGAATAGAAACTTCAAGAAAGAGAGGTGAATAAGCATGCTGATAGCTGGGGGATTATATTTTCAGTCATTAGGGACAGTCAGGGCAAAGGACTTAAGGCCCATGCTTATAATCTTACAGACTATAAGATCCCGTAGGTCTCGGTGCTGCATGATTTGGGAGAGTGGAAGATATATCCAGAAGGTGATGGGATCAGATCCTATGGAAATTTGGCAATGATTCTGTCCTCTTCTCCCCTTGATTCACCTTTCCTTCTGTACAAGTGGCAAGATCTAGGGCAGAGGTTCTCAACTTCAGTGTACAGAATGGCCACTCCTGGTGTTTGTTCAAATGCAAATTCCTGAACCCTGGCCTTAGAAAGTCTGGTTTTGTGGTGCTTGGGACTTGAAATTTCCAATAGGCTCTGTTGGAGAGCCTAATGAAGAAGACGGAGATTTGAGTGTGACCCCAAGGGACCCAGGCACCCGCTTGAAATCCTGAGATGCCCCTGGAGGTAGAGGCAGACACTGGAGTTGTCTGTTTAGCTCACACATCTGTAATGACCCAGCTGAACCAGTGACCAATGGCCCAGGTTTCCTTGTAGCCCACATATGGGGAATCCCCTGTCCAGTGGTCCAGCCTAGATCACCCGGCTGCAAGATCACCCAGGTGGGCTTAGACCCAGGACCTGACCACTCAGAAAGCCTTTCCTGTCAGGCCAGTGACTCGGAAGGCTGAGACGGGAGGATCCCAAGTTTCAGATCAGCCTGGGCAACTTGGTGAGATCCTGTCTCAAAACAAAATAAAAAGGGACTGGGGTGCTGGGGTTGTGGCTCAGTGGTAGAGCACTTGCCTCGCATGTGTGAGGCACCGAGTTCAATCTTCATCACCACATATAAATAAATAAATAAGTAGAAAGATAGCTAAATAAATGTATTATGTCCATCTACAACTAAAAATATTTTTTAAAGGGGCAGGGGGCGCTAGAAATGTAGCTCAGTAGTAGAGCACTTGCCTAGCCTGTGCAAGGTCCTAAGTTCAATTCCCAGCACTAAAAATAAAAGTCTTCCTTTTTCTGCCTTGTCTCTGCCTGCTTTTCCTGGGGGACCTCCCACTGGGGCAGGCTGAATTTCAGGACTTCCTATCCCACAACTGGCTCCCTGGACTTTTGGTTCCTCTGAGTCCCTTAGGAACATGGGTTTCATGACTTAGTACAATCAACTTTGCCCACAGGTACCGATACCCCTCATTGGGCCAGAGAACATCGTGGACGGAGACCAGACACTCATCCTAGGACTCCTCTGGGTGATCATTCTGCGTTTTCAGATTTCCCACATCTCCTTGGACAGGGTATGTGCCCCATGACCTCACCTCAGGCACCTGGAGACAGCGCAGTTCCACTGCACATCTACGTTCCCCACACAAATCCCTGGCATCCTTGGAATTAGTATTCATTCTTCAATCAGGGGTAAAGAACCCAAGTCAGAGATGTTGCCATATGTTGGACTGAGAATTAGAAACAGGGCTTCACACCTGACCTGAGACAAGTCACTCACTAGACAGGGACAGGGTGAATTCCCAGCAACACTTTCCACCTGTTTACTGTTCCCTACTTGGCATTGAAACCCTGTAATATTCATTGCACCATAATGCACCCCTAGGGGAAATTCAGCATGTAGAGTCCTACCTCTGGAGGTTCACTAATTCCCCAGTACCCAGAAGACCAATGACCCAGTATTTCCCTCATGGTTTCCCGACTTTCCCCCTTCTATCTTTTTCTCCCCAACAACTGGATCAGAAAGAGTATAAACCAGTCAGGCATGGTGACACTTGCCTGAAATCCCATCAGCTCAAGAGGATCACAAGTTCAAAGCCCGCCTCAGCAACATAGCTTAAAATAAAACATAAAAAGAATTGGGGATGTGGCTCAGTGGTTAAGTACCTCTGGGTTCAATAAATCTCTGGTATAAAAAAAAAAAGAAATGAGTATATAAACATAATGTTCTTATATTTATCACTTTTAAGTTTTATAATCCCCAAAACAACACCTGAAACTTGATTCTGGTAGGTCAGGAAAGCCAAGGTGGAAAATGAAACTCTATGAAAAAAAAAGCCACAGATTACAGATTTGGCACAAATCCATGTGGACCTTCAAAACAAATGATGACTATGAGCTACAGAGGAGCAGGGCCTTGTGTGCTCGCAGCTCCAGAGCTGAGCTCTGTTTGGGGGAACAAATGGGCAGATGAACATCTAACTGACCCTAAACCTTTCCTTTCTACTCACCTCCCCAGATCTTGAGGCCCAATAGCCCCTCAGACTTGTCCCTTGGGAGCAGCAGGTACTCCTCGTCCCCTGAGGCTGCCACCTCAGGCCTGCTCCCTGATGACTCAGGCTTCAGCAGCCCTGCTCCCTCCTAGGTCCATCTCAGCATGCCCTAGTTCCCATATGGCCTAGCCTAGCACCCAGGGGCTTGGGCCTGGCCTCCTCCCTGGGGCAGAGGGGCCTCCAAATCCTTGAGATGACTCTACAGACCTGTGCTGGTCTCCAGCATCCTTCCTGTCAGAGGAAGGGGAAGAAGTGCATCCTGCTCAGCTGCACTCCTGAATTCATAACAGGAATTGGCGGAGAGGGAAACACAGGAGGGCATCCAGGAGCACAGGAGAGGCAGGGTTTAGGGCAACCGGGGCCAGGGAGTGAGTGGAAGGGGGGGTCCCTAAGGGAAGGACAGGGATGCAGGCAGAAAGAAGTTGGAGGAGGATGAAAGGCCAAGAGACAGAAGCACTGAGTGGAAGAGATGGAGATGGAGACGGAATAATAAGGGAAACTATCCACAAAGAGGACCTGGCAGGGCTGGAGGGGCTTGAAATCAAACCCAGCCGAGTCATTTCTCAGTCCCTGAAGCATTGAGCACTATAGGTGGGGGGCTCTCTTGTCCTTTGTTGGAGGTTTAGGGGTCCAGGCCAATCCCTTTATCAGCTGGGGCCCTGGGCAACTTTCCAATCTCTTACTACCCCCCCTTTGTCTTCTGGAGAATGTAAATACTAACAGGCTGAGAACCTACTACCTGATCATCAGAAAGCCTACAATACAGGGAAGGAGTCAAATAGGGCCCAGCCTCCACTCTATGAGGCCCCAGGTTGGTTATCACCATGCCTGGGCCCCAAACCAGGAGCTATTGCTATTGTGGTCCTCAATTGCAATACAAAACTAGCTGCTCTGATGACAGGTGACAGCTTTCAGTCACCCTGCCTCTTTTGAAGCACAATCAATCAGAAGGACTCTTGACTCTCTAACCCCTACCTCTATCTGTGGATGACATCAGGTAAAATCAGATGCTCTAAAGAGAGCCATCTCCAGGTGGGGTAGGATCACAGCATGAGCCACCCACAGTCTGCAGGTTCTGCTGCCCCCACCTGGCCCCACATGGTGATGACATGCCCTGTCCTACAGGAGGAGTTTGGAGCCAGCGCAGCCCTGTTGTCAGCCAAGGAAGCTCTGCTGGTCTGGTGCCAGAGGAAGACAGCCGGCTACGCGAACGTGGGCATCACTGACTTCTCTCGCAGCTGGAGCGACGGGCTGGGTTTTAATGCCCTTATCCACGCCCACAGGTGTGGCCGGACCTGAGTCTCCAATTACTGAACCCAGGGCTGGGGCCTCTCCAGCCCATTTTCCATATCCGCTCTGGCTCCTGGAGGAGGAGGGGAAGTGGGCCCAGAAGTAGAGTGGGCTGACAACTGAGTCCCTGGCCTGGAGTAGTACCCCCACACACTCCCCAGAGAATTGCCATGTTTGCCTCTGACCCCAGCCTTCACTTTCTGCATCCCTCCCTTCTCTTCATTGCCTTCTCCCCGGCAATTAGCTGCCCTTTTGGAACTTCTGCCCCCATCCCTGGACCTGGCCTCTATGCCAAATTAACCCATCCTTCAGCCAGGGCCTCAGAGAACTGTCAGAGGAAAATGGATTCACAGTAAGCTGGGTCTGGCCAATAGGAACATGTGCATTTTAAAAAGCAGGACACTCTCCTGAAGAGCCCTTCCTGTTCTCTGCCCAGGCCGGACCTGCTAGACTATGGCTCCCTGCGTCCAGACTGCCCACTGCACAACCTCACCTATGCCTTCCACGTGGCTGAGCAAGAGCTTGGCATTGTTCAGCTGCTGGACCCTGAGGATGTGGCCAGCCTACAGCCAGATGAGCGCTCCATCATGACCTATGTCTCCCTCTACTACCACTATTTCTCTCGCCTACACCAGGGGCAGACTGTCCAAAAGAGACTCGCTAAGGTTGGTGACAAAGGGAGGTGGTCCAGCCAGCCATAGGGAGCCACAGCTCTGAGGACAGGTGGGATGAGCACAATCTCCAGAGTCAGGCAGACATGAATTTGAAAACTTCTTTTGTCATTCATTTTGTCAAGGCTGTGTAGCCTTGGCCAAGTCATCTAACTTCTCTGTGCTCCTATTTGTAACATGGAGACAATAACACCTGGATAATAGGGCTGCTGATGGGTTGGTATTCAGTGGATCTTAAGTGGCCCAACATGGAGCCAGGCATATAGGGAAAGTGGAGAGGCAGTGCCTGCTCCTGCTGCTCCTGCCCCCCCTCCCCTCCCCCTCCACTTGCAGGCTGTTAAGCTCCTAATGGGATTAAGCCCTAGAGAACCAGGAGTCTGCAAGGACAGGCATAGAAGAGGCTCTGCTGGGTTGGGGGGCTCCATGTTTTTGGAGGACTTTCTTACTCTCTGGACGCGATGGCAGAGGCTGAGGCCTGGGAGGGCTGCCCTCAGGGTTGGTGTCTCAGTGGGGGAAGATGATACAGGCCAAGGACTCTAAGATGCTTGGGGTGGGGGTAGGGGAAAGAATGTTCAGGAAAAGGAGTAGACTAAAGGCCCTCAACCCCCAGAGGTGAGGCGAAAGGGTGAAACAAGATGGAAGAAGGCAGGACACAGTCTTGCCCCCAAGTCATGGAGAGGGAGACCACTCACTCCTGAAACTGGTTGTGTGATGCCCCCTCCTCTCTGGGGGCTGGGGGACCCCTACTTTAGTGCACCCTCAGCTGAGAGAAGCAGCTGGCTCCCAGAGTCCAACAGGGGAGTGCCTCCATTCCAGGGCCTGATCCTTTCCCTGCCCTCCACCAGATCCTGCTTCAGCTCCAGGAGACCGAGGTGCTACAGACCCAGTACCAGCAGCTGGTGGCTGACCTGCTCCACTGGATCACAGAGAAGCAGGCACAACTGGAGATGCGGAACTTTCCAGACTCACTGCCTGCCATGCGCCAGCTACTGGTGGACTTTGCCTCCTTTCGTGCTCAGGAGAAACCACCTCGGCTGCAGCAGCGAGGGGCCACAGAGGCCCTGCTCTTCAAGCTGCAGACAGCGCTCCGAGCCCAGAACCGCAGGCTCTTCCTGCCTCAGGAGGGCCTCAGCCCTGAAGAGCTGTCCCAGCGCTGGGCAGGGCTAGAGCGAGCAGAGGCTGCCCGGAGCCAGGCCCTGCAGCAGAGGCTACTACAACTGGAGCGTCTGGAAACACTGGCCCGTCGCTTCCAGCGCAAGGCAGCCCTCCGGGAGAGCTTTCTAAAGGATGCAGAGCAGGTGCTGGACCACGCCAGAGCCCTGCCAGCCAGCCCAGCCACAGTAGAGGCAGCCACCCAGAGGTTGGGCATGCTGGAGGCTGGCATCCTGCCCCAGGAGGGGCGCTTCCAGGCCCTGGCTGAGATCGCAGACATCCTCCAGCAGGAACACTATCATGACTGGGCAGATGTGGCCCACAGGTGAGCCCCAAGCCTATAAACCATCCTCACAAAAGGGAAAGGCACACCCTCACGCTTCCACATGCCCATTCCTGGCCATGGAAGAGAGGGGTGGTTTATGGAATCAGGACTCCTTCTAAAAAAATCAATCTCCCATGGATGTTGGAATTCTGCCATCAGTAATTCATCCCTTTTGGTAAAGCACTGTCCTTTTGAGGTAGCCTCTGATTAGTTCGTTCATTATGGCATTTATGGCATATCCACTGTGTCCCATGTGCCATTCTAGGTGCTGGAGGTTTAGCAGTGAAGAGAACAAACAAAAATCCCTCCCCTTAAGAAACTTACACACTATTTTTTTTAAGAGAGAGAGAGAGAGAGAATTTTAATATTTATTTTTTAGTTTTTGGCGGACACAACATCTTTGTTTGTATGTGGTGCTGAGGATCGAACCCAGGCCGCACACATGCCAGGCAAGCGCGCTACTGCTTGAGCCACATCCCCAGCACAAACTTACACACTATTAAGGAAAACAAATAATAAAAATATAACATGAGAGATAGTGATTTAAAATATAGGGTCTGGGGATGTAGCTCAGTGATAGAACGTGTGATTAGAATGCACAAGGTCCTGGGTTTGATCCCCGGCACCAAATTAATTAATTGAATTAAATAAAGCAGGATAATGGAATGTTGAGGGGCCAGTGTGGGAAGTGGTGCAGACTTGGGTGGCTGGAAGAGAGATATTGGAAGATGACTTTTGAATAAAGACCAGAAAGGAGTGAAAGGGCTGGTCATGCAGATATGGGGGACAGAGTGACCCAGGCAGAGGAAACAACAATTGCAGCATCCCAAGGTGGGTTCCTGCCTGGCAAGTCTAGAAAAAAAGTATAAATGCTAGGGGTGGAAGAGGGGATGGGAATGGGAAAGACAGTAGAATGAATCAGACATAACTTTCCTATTTTCATATATGAATACACAACCAGTGTAACTCCACATCATGTACAACCACAAGAATGGGAAGTTATACTCCATGTATGTATGATATGTCAAAATAGAATCTACTGTTATATATAACTAAAAAGAACAAATTAAATTTTTAAAAAAATGCTATGGTGACTAAAGTGAGCAAGTTACAGGGGTGAGGTCAGGGAAGCTCAATGGCAAGGGATAGGAGTGGAAGTCAGGCTGGGCCTTGCAGTTTTTACTCTGAGAAAGATGGGAAATCTTGGAAGGCTTGAGCACAGAACTGACTTTTGTTTTACAATGGTCACCTAGATGCCATGTTGGGAAGAGGCTGAAGGAATAGCAGCAGAAGCAGAGAGATCAGTTATGAAGCTATTGCTGGGTGGAGAGCAAGGGAGGCAATAGCACAATAGCAGTGGTGGGATTCTGAATGTATTTGAAGTTAGTGCCAAACAGGATTTAGAGACAGGTCAGAAGTGGGGTTGTTGTAGAGACAGACGAGGCAAGGCTCCAAAGATAGCAGAAAATAGTTTTATTTGGCTGCAGCCAGGTTCAGAGAGCACAGCTTTTGCTGTAATCAATCCTCTGAATCCCGAGTTCAGGTAGTTTCAGAATTGTATACCCGGTATGTAATGGGAGGGGCTCAGAAGTTCACAGTTTTCACAAGTTCGCATAAAAGCAGCTTTTTCTTTCACTGTTCAGGGCAAATTAACCCTTCAAGGACAACACATGAAAGGGGGAGAGTTTCTTCTCCCCTTTCTTTCCTCCCCCTGCCAGCTGTTACCATGCAGCCTAATTGGTAACTTACCTTAGAAATGTAGACATCTCTGTGAAGCTCTAGCTCAAGGCCAGTGGCCTTGTTTACACATTTCTACAAACTACTATACTAGATACATGTTTGTGAAAAACTATTAAGGGGGTGTCCAGCACCTGGAGTGCGGATTTCTTTCAGGCTAGCGGCCAAGTAAAATAGGGCAACACAAAAATAGGAAGTTTATCTACATTGAACTCTTTTTTGAGATCCTTTTGCTGACAGTCCTAAAATCAGCCATGGTGAAGATTTCTGGAGAAGCCCAGTTAATATATTTTGTGGAGGAGGGGGTGCCACTACAGGGTGTGAAGACTGACTTAAGATTTTAGTCTGAGCATCTGGAAGGATGGAGCTGCCATCAACTGCCATAGGGACTAGAAGGGGTTGGGGCTGAAGGCCTAGACCTTTCAGGTCCTCTTTTGGCTTCTCTGCCTGTAACCAGGCAGGACACATTGCCCTAGTCTCCCCATACCAAGAGGTTCACATCCAGGCCCTGCTTCCAGCCTCAGAGGTCCAAATCATCCAGGGCATCCAAGCCTCACCACTAACCTGAGGTGGCTTCTCTGCCCCAGCCTTCTGGAACTTCCTTTATTCTTGTGTCTTCCAGGCATGAGAAGATCACACAGCGCTGGAAAAGACTCCTTCAGCATCTACAGGAGCACAGGAAGCAGATGACAGGTGTGCAGGCTGTGCTAAGCCTTCTGCAAGAGGTGGAGGCTGCCTCTGACCAGCTCCGGGAGCTGCAGGTGGGCACAGGACCAGCCAACCTCTGGGGAACATAGTAGAGTGAGGGTCTTTCCCCAGCACTGGTGCTCACAGGAATGCAGCACCTTAAGACTGCAATGACCACTTATCTCTGGTCAGGTGCCAGCCAGCTCCATGACCTGTACACAGCATCTGGCAGAAGTAGTGGAGCTGCTTCAGAGACATGACCTGTTAGAGGCCCAGGTCTTTACCCACGAGGCCCATGTGAGTCGTCTTGCCCATCAGACTGCAGAGCTGGACTCCTCCCTGGTCACCAGTGTAGACATGCTGCAGGTCAAAGCCAAAGCTGAATCATTAGCCCAGCTCTACCAGAACCTGATGTCTCTTGTCAGGGACAGGTAAGGGTCTGACCTAACTTCTCAACCTTCTTTGGAACTTTTCTGTAACCCCAATTATCTCCTGCCCAGACTAAAATACTGTTGGCCTGACAACCTCCTCTACAATGACCCTCTGTCCCAAGGCCTCTGTCTCACCTATTGAGTCATACAGGGAAAAGAAAAGTCCTGTCTAAGGACCCCCAGGGAACTCCCTCCCCATGCCCCACGACACCTGAAGTCTCTTGGTGGCCCTTGCTGATTGTCTCCCAGGCGGACTATGCTGGAGCAGACCCAACAATGGGCAGAATTCCTGAACAACTGTGAGGAGGAGGAGGCCTGCTTGAGAGAACTCAGACAGCAGGTGGAGAATTTGTCCCTGGGAGGGGACCTCAGTCAGATCTCAGTCACCCTGCAGAAACACAAGGTGCTCACTCCCTCGCTCCCTGTGGATCCACACCTTTTCCTCACCCATCTGGCTTGGGAACCCAGCCCCCTCTCCTTTCCTTCCCATCACCAAGCTTCCCCACCTCAACTGGGCCTTGCCCTCTAGGCCCTGGAAGCCAAGCTCCACCGCCACCAGGCTGTGTGCGTGGACCTCGTGAAGAGGGGGTGCGACTTCAGCGCCCGCGGATCCTCGACGCAGCAGGATCCCAGGGAGCGGGCAGAGGCGGTGCAGAGAGAGTGGCAGCTGATCTGGACTAGGTTGGAGAAGAGGGGCTTGAGGCTGCACACATCCCTGCTTTTACGGCAGGTAGAGAAGTGGGGCGTTCCAGTCAGGGGGCGGGGCCGGGGAGGGCACCTGCCTGTGCTCAGCCCCGCCCTCCTGCCCTCAGTATTTCGCCGACGCTGCGGAAGCGGCTGCGTGGCTGCGCGAACGGCGGCACGAACTGGAGACTGCGTTTTGTGGGGAGGATCAGGCGGCAGCCGAGGCCATGTTGCTGCGCCACCAGCGGCTGGAGCGCGCCGTGCGCTCCTTCGCAGCCGAGTTGTCCCGGCTGGACGAGCAAGCGCGGGCCGCCGCAGCGCGGGCGTCACTCAGGGTGCGCGCCAAGACTGGGAAGGGTGACTCAGACTTGTGCGCTTCCAAGACCAAATGTGTAGTTTCTGCTCGGCACCTAAGTCCCATATTCCACCGCCTGTGGGCCACAGAAGGCGACAGATGGTCTTTGTGGCCTGGCCCGGGAATCCTGTCCTTCCCTTGGGCGTGGGCGTGGGCGTGTCCCTCCATCCTTAGGCAGGTCGCCTGCTGGCTAAGACCTAAAGTAGAAACCTGTCTGCCCAGAGAATCGAGGTCATCCTAGTACAACTGGGTTTGGCTCACTTTACTCAGCACAATTCCGGAGCATTAAGCAAGTTCCTCCAGGAATGTCCCTTTTATTTTCACCTCCAGACCTAAAGTGACCCTTAAGCCCTTATAGTCTCTCTCATCTGACGGCCCTTGTGGGTTTTGTTGGATGGTCTAATCACTGCACCAGACTGCTCTGAAACCTCTCCCTCAGTTCACTGAGCCCTTAGTATCCAAAAGCTTGTGTAGTAGGTTGCTGAGTTCTGTCCTCTTCCAAGAAACCTTGCTTGTCGCTGGAAGCAGTGGTGCAGACCTGTAATTCCAGCAGTTCAGGAGGTTGAGTGAGGCAAGAGTATCTCAAGTTGAGGCGAGCCTCAGAACTTAGCAACGCCCTGAACATGTTAGCAAGACACTGTCTCAAAAGTTAAAAAAAATAAAAAGTGGCTGAGGATGTAGCTCAGTGTGAAGTATCCCCAGGTTCAATTCCCAGTGGAAGGAAGGAAAGAAGGAAGGAAGGAAGGAAGGAAGGAGGGAGGGAGGGAGGGAAGGAAGGAAGGAAGGAAATTGCTTGTAGCTCACAATGAAGCTAAGGAGGCCCCTAGACTCTCTGTTCATGCTCCACTCCTCTACCCTGAGCTCCAAGGAAGCTCCATGTCCCACTCCCAGGTCTGAAAGGCCCATCTTTCCCTTTCTTTTGTGTTTATTCCCTGGATAACATAATTATTTTTTTAAAAAATTAATTCATAGTATATCACCAATGGTCTGGTCCAACCCCCTGTCTTTACAGATGATGTAACCATGGTTCAGAGGGTCCAGGTTATTAAGAATATGTAGTTATCCCTACCAGAGAGTCTCCTGACTTCCTGTTCTGAGCTGTATCTACCCCACCCACACTGTATTTCTGTGATGCTATACTAATACATAACTCTCTAGGTATAGGACAAAAATATGGGTTCTTCCTATTCTGTGTGTCCTGCTTTTCTAGTTTTTAATTGTTTAAATGAATGAATGGGAGCATCCTAATCCCTTTTTTGTGTCCTCTGTTGACCAGCCTGTGCTGGTAATGATGGAGAGATCCTGCCTGGCCCCTGGCATTTTAGACCTTTGCTTTTCCCAATGCTGAATGGCAAAAGCAGAGCTGCTCCTTCTGCTGAGGGGTAGAGCCATTAGGCACCTGGGCAGAGCCTTTGCATCTCTATGCAGGAGGAACCCTCAGAATGCTGGAGCAGGATTGATGAAGAGACAATTGGGAGACCCCAGAATGGGTCCCAAATCTTAGCAACACCAGCCAGCCAGCACCCATGCCCCCAGGGCCAGATGCACTTTGCCTCCAAAGGTATGAGGTCAAGAGCCATATAGGAGCCTTAACAGGCTGTCATGAATGAAGAGATTAAACATATTCTGTGTGGTGGCTCTCTGGAACATCCAACAACTGAAGGGAAGAAATTTAGGGGAGGCCAATTTGGGCTACTCAGAGACAGCACTGGACTGCCCAGGGGTGTGAGTTCCTGTCACTAGGCAGCCATGGAGAGGTGGTTTTACACCAGCGAAGTTTAAATGAGATGGTCATGTAGGTCTTGTCCAGCTTGAAATTCTCTTGAGTTCCCCTTTTCCCACCCTCTAGTTCTTGATCTCTCTCCCTTTCTCGTCCTTTTCTTTCATCCCCTCAACCCAGTCCTGAGCAGCTTGTGCTGATGCTGCCACTGCTGTCAACCCTTGCCCAGGGACAGAGGTAAAATATGGCACAGACTGGGTACTTATCCATCCCTAAGGAGGCACACCAGCCTGTTTCCCCAGTCTTCTCTTCCAAGCTTCTACTACCCCAGCCACCTTGTCTTCCCCTCTGCAAATGTTTTATTTTCTGGCAGGGCCTACTGGGGCCCTACCTTGTCCTTAAAATCTTTTCCAATACCCCACACCATTCTGGCTCCCCCTCCCCCACAGACACCTATATTACTTATTTTACATGATACATTCTCTGCCTACCTACAGACATCCCAGGATAGTGTCCTACCTGCTCTGAGTCTATGAGCCTTGCAATTCTGAGAGGTTTGTGAGCCCCTGGATAGGTCCTAAGTTAACATAGGGTCAGGCACAGGGAAGCACTAAAATAATAAATAACCCCCATCTATCCCCATGGTGAGCCTCTGGGTAGAGAAGAGGAGCGGGCCCTGAGCAGTGCTCGCAGCCTGTACTCCCACAGGGCCAAGGCTTACCTGGCTCTCAGAAGTGACCCTGGACACCCCTGAGCTGAAGGACTGGGGAGAATGCCAAGCCAAGGTGCCCATCAGCCATGGCGTGGAGCAGGATCCCCAGGTACAACTCCCCCCCCCCAACCAAGGCCTCTGCAGCTTGATTGGAGCCCCATGTGGACAGACTGCTCTATATCTGCACAGGTGGTGTCTTCCCTGAGCCCTCCAGGGAAAGGTCCAAGCATGACTCTCTCTGCTGAGTCTGACCTTGATTTTGACCCCAACACCGTTCTCCAGACACAGGACCACTTGAGCCAGGACTATGAGAGCCTGCGGGCTCTGGCAGAGGTAATGTTCCTTGATCAAAAATTGTTCATCAAACCACTAGCCCCTGTGTCTCCATCGCAAAGGACTGATCAGTAACTGACATGCTTCCTGCCTCAAGAAATTTATGTCATGGCTGAGCATAAGTCGACAAATCTGTATATGGATGCAGTATGATGGGAGCCCATGAAAGGGCAGCCCAAGTCAGCGTCGGGGTCAGGGAAGTCACTAACAAGGGAAAGACATTTAAACTGAGACTTGAACAAGGAGAAGCAGAGAGTAGGCAACCTTTGTGAAGTAGGCCAGAACCTGAGTAAAGGCCAGGAGTAAGCTTGATGGAGGAGGCCAAAGCCAGAGTGCCTGGAATACAGATGCCAGAGCGGCAATGGCTAGCAGAGAGCGGGGAGAAGCAAGCGGGGCTGCCTGGGCAGAGCCAAAGCCCACAGGGAAATGTGGATTTGACCTATGAGCTTACGCCAAACCTAACCTCTTACGTTTCCCTCTGTGAGAGGACATGGGGCCAAGCATTGGCAAAGACCCCTTCTGGCCCTAGCAAATGCTGGTGGGCTTGGGTGGGGATCTGCTCTGAGTGCCCTGTAGGGGGCACTGACCCTCATCCAATCCTCACCCAGCCCACCTCTTTTCAGCTCCGCAGGGCCCGGTTGGAGGAGGCAGTGGCTCTCTTTGGCTTTTACCACTCCTGTGGGGAGCTCCAATCCTGGCTAGAGGAGCAGACTGTGCTGTTCCAAATGCTGCAGCCGCAGGCCAACAACTTGGAAATCATGCAGTCCAAATATAAGGTACAGCCCCTTGAAGCCAAGAGGGGCCTAGAGTACTCAGTCCCTCCTCGCCTTGCTCCTGCCTCCCTGTTAGTCATGTGCTCCGGGTCCCCATGTTAACTGAGGTCCTATCTGGGAGGGGAGCAGGGATAATAAATAGACCCTCAAGGTTAAGGACTTGGAGTTCTGCCCTTCCAGAGGCAAGCAGCATAAGCATCTCCATGTCGGAGCTTGTCAGACGTTCTTCATAGTCCTATCGAAAGGAAACAACCCCCCCACTCCAGAGGCTGGGAGTGGTGGCATATGCCTATAATCCCAGCCAGAGGAGGCCAGGGCAAAAGGATTGCAAGTTCAAAGTCAGCCTGGGCAAATTTAGTGAGACCCTGTCTCAAATTTTTAAAAAAAGCGGCGGGGGGCAGGGGATGTTGGGGATGTAGGTCAGTGGCAGAGTACCCCTGGATTCAATCTCCAAGTACCATGAAAAAAAAAGAAAAAAATAGAGGCCTGGGTCCTCATTCTCTCCAGAACTTCCTCTTTGCCCTGGCTGTGAGAAAGGGCCACTGGGCTGAGATCAACAGCTCTGCTGAGCAACTGAAACAGAGATGTCCTGGGGACTCCACAAAAATCCAGCGTCAACAAGAGGACCTGCACCAGAGGTAAAAATGAGGGGGAGTGCCAGGTGATGTGGACAGGGTGGAGGTAAGGTCTGGTGCCTCCTATAATGACAGTGTCAGGGACAGGGATGAGAGGGCAGGGGATAGCCAGTCTATCAGCTTGTCATAAAAGATTCTGGTCAGGGTCTAAAAATGGATGGGAAGGTGTCCCTGTGATAGAGACATCCCTGTACCCTCTGCCCAGGTGGGGCCAGCTAGAGGCCCTGAAGAAGGAGAAGGGCCTGCAGCTGGCACACAGCATGGAAGTGTGCAGTTTTCTGCAGGAATATGGACACACACAGGTCCAGCTGCAGGACGTTCTACTCCAACTGGAGGCCCTGGAGCCAGAGAGCTCTGAGGCCAGTCACTGTGCCCTGCAGCTGAGCCAGCAGAAGGTCCTGGTGCTGGAGAAGAGGATCCACTACCTCCAGAGAGTAGCTGTAAAGTATGACTGGTGACAGTGCCCTGGGAGGCAGTAAAGTCAGAGGGAGGTCTGGGCAAGGCAATGCAATGAGGAAGGGGACAGAACCTGGGATGGAAAGAAGCACATCCTCATGCTGTCTCCCACCTCCTGGGTAGAGGTGGGAGACAGCATGAGAGTGCTCTTGGGGAAAGAAAGAGCCATGTGTCCATGCTGCCCCTAAGTCAGGGTGGAGTGGGCATTCAGAGTTGTTAACACTTTCCTGGGAAATACAAGATTGAGCAGATGACATATGTATGGAACACAGGGCCCAGGATAGGGCACTGACTGTGCAGTTGCCTGTCTCCCAGGGTGGAGGAGTTAGGCCCTGCAGAGAGCCAACCCCTGCAGGAACAGATGGAGGTGCTCCAGAGCCTGCTGAAGAAAGCACAGGGACAGGTGACCCAACAGAACCGGGTGTGGGCTGAGGCTCGAGCCTGGCAGAGGTTCCTGAAGGAGAGCCAGCAATTGCTGCTGTGGGCAGAGGGTATCCAGGCTCGACTGTGCGACGAGGAGGAGTTGGTGGATGCAGCCTCAGGCCAGCGGCTGCTGAAGAAACATGGAGAGCTGCAGGAGGAGATCCACTTGCAGCAAGAAAGGTCAGGAAGGGAGGGCAGGCAGGGTGCACTTCAGGCTGGGTGAAGCCTGAGGGCCTCGAGCCCAGAAAAGGAGAGCAGGAAGCAGTGTGGTCACTGGGAGAGTGATACCTGAGGCAGGTTTACAGGAGGGACCTAGGCTCAAGTCAGAAAACCCATAGACTTTGGGGAAGCCCCAGGACATTGAGCTGCCTGGGAGGCTCTATGCTGTGCAGGCCCACATGCCCTTCCAGGTGAGTTAATAGATGCCACCCCATCAGGGCAATCTAGCGCTGCATTCTGGATGAGGCCGACCCTGTGGGCCCTGGAGTCAAATGGCTCAGAATCCATCCATAAACTATTATACCTGCCTCCTCGGTATAGTGATGCCTGTCCTCCTGCAGGGATGATGTGATGGCCCAACGGGCAGGGCCACCACAGGCAGTGCTCAGGCTGTGGGCCAGTCTTCAGGAGCTTGGCAGATGTCAAACAGACCCTGAGATACATCTGCCCTCTCTCTGATTGCCACACCCCATTACCTGGTTCAGGCTGCAGCAGCTCACAGGAAGTAGAAGTTTTTTTTCTACTTCTCACAATGGTGTCACCTATTCCCCATCTGTATGACTGCACTCAGTTAAAAGGATCACCTGTCCTACTTGTGCAAAGGCTCCATGTGGGCTTGCAGTGGCCCTGGATGCAGGCAGACATGTGGTTTGAGTGGTCTGTCTCTGTTAGTTGTGCTGCCCCAACAGGTTCATTTGCTTTGGCATTGGCCATTAGCCAGCCACATTTAGAGGATGGTCAACAGGAGTGAAGGTGTGGCATGGCAGAGATCTTGGAATTATTGGGTCCTAAGCACTGTGCTGGGCCCATTACATTCACTGCATCCTTCATGAACCCAGGTATGGCTGTCCCCATGGGACAGGTGAACTGACTGGCAGACCCCTCCTGCCAGTTACCCTTACATCAGAGCTCCACCGTGAAGGAAGCATGGAGATGAGAGAGGAGGAAGCTGGGAGAGGAGCCAGATAGGGGTTGAACCTCTGCCTATTGTCCTGGACAGGTTACAGCAGCTGGAAGCTCAGGGCATGACCATGGCAGCCTTGGACTCCCCACATTCCCATGAGGTGGCCAGTGCTCTGCGGCTTCTGGGCCACTGTGGCCAGGAGCTGAAGGCTGCATGGGAGCAGAGACAGCAGAGGCTGTGGGAGGGACTGCAGTTGCATATGTTTGGCCAAGAAGTGGATGGTTTCATTGCCACCTGTGCCAACCACAAGGCCTTCCTGTGCCTGGACAACCTGGGGGTATGGAACCAGGGATATGGAACTGGGTTGTTACTGGGTTATCAATCCCCCATCACTGGAGGGAGTTCATCTCCTTGGGCTCAGAAGCCCGGCTGGGCACAAGGCCCCTGGGTCCATGGTGGGTGAGGTGGTGCTGCCCTCGTCCTCCCAGGAATGACTTCAGGTCTCTAAACCCTAGGAAGATGTGAGGGAGGCCCAGAGCCTGCTACAGCAACACCAGGCCTTTGGGTGGCTCCTGGGAGCCCTGCACCTTCGAGCAGAGGCTCTGCAGGCCCATGGCAAGAAGCTAGTTCAGAACAAACATCCTGCTGCGCCCAGGTGAGCCTGGCCTGCTATTTTTTCTCCTCCTGTGCAGACTCCTGTGCTGGCTGGAGAGTGGGAAAGCAGAGGGGTGTACCTGGGCTGGGTGGGCCTCAGGGCAGAGAGGAGCCCTCCCCTCCCCCACCTCCAGGGTCAGAGAGAAGCTGCAGAGTGTCCAGGTACAGTGGACCAGAGTCCAGGAGAGGAGTGAGCAGAGGAGAGGGCAGCTGTTGGCTTCCCTCCAGCTTCAGGTAAGGGGCTCCCTGGGTATAGGAGGCCTCCCAAGATCAGTGCCTGAGAGACCACCTGTGTGCTAACCGTGTGACGACAGGGAGCATTTCCACTTACAGAGCACTCTTCCTACACATCACATCGTCCCTCCTTGCAGCACAGAGGCAGGCTCTGTGCCTCAGGTGTTTCCTGATGAGGATAATGAACTGTGGCCACTTGGCTGTCTGAGACTGGGCCAGGCCTAAAGTGCAGGCCCCTTGACTAACCCACCACTGCCTCACCCTGCTATCCCCTTTTCCTGAGTTTCTGGCACACTCTAGGGTTTTACATGGGTCATGCAAAACCAGACTGTGGTTCTGTGAATATTTGTTCAGTTCCAGAACAGCTCTAGGCTGGGCCAGGCCACAGGCCTCCCAGAGCTTTGGCCTATCAGAGCAAGATGGGCAAACATGACCTGATGTTGGCTAGAGGAGTGGGAACCTGTCAGGCACTCCTCCTATCTGGGCACAGTGTTCCTGTCCCCAATTTGTTGAGCAGTAACTTCAGCCTCCATCTCCCTTATGCTCCAAAATTGGCTGTGGGTCTTGCTTTCCCCACAGGGGTCCCTGAGGCCCCCCTTATATAGGTAGGTCCTTGCACCATCCTTGTCCCCAGGCTATGATAACCACCCTCTGGTTGTTGAGCATTCCTGGTTTGGGGACAGGAATGGAAGCAGGACGTGGTGGAGCTGATGCTGTGGATGGAGGAGAAGTGGTCAGTGGCAGCACATGAGCCCTCCCGAGCACCCAGCAGCATTCTGCGGAAACTCAGGCGGCATGAAGCAGTTGAGAGGGAGCTGATAGCCACCCGTGGGCATATGGAGGACCTGCAACAGGTGGGGGACACTGCATTGAGACAGTTCACACTAGCCTACGCGTTTTCATGGAGCATAGTCATTGAAAGAAGAGTCAATTCTAATTACCATGGAATCAGTCAATTCTAATTACTTCCTTCACTCGGCTGGGTGTTCCTTTGCTTGGTACCCAAACCAACATAGAAAGCTGCCACCGCCCCTGCTCCCTCCACTCTCCAGGACAAGCCTCAGAGCCTGCCCCTTCGCCAGAACAAAGCTCTTCCCTACCTTCCACTTGGGCCTGCTCACCCGACTCTACTCGCCCTCTTTCCTCTGCCCATAGCTAGGTAGGGGACACATGAACTGCTGGAGCCCAGACAACCTGTGGAAAGCAGCTTACAGCCTGTCACTTGCCCCCCTATCCCCTGGGTCCAGCCTGCTGTGGTCCAGCAACCCAGAAAATTGCCTTGTGCCTTTGTCTCTGTGATCCAGGCTGGGAGAGAGCTATTGTGCAGCAGTCCGCATGCCCAGGAAGACATACAGTCCAGGCTTCAGGGCCTGGGGCACAAGTGGGAGGAGTTGAATCGCAAGATGGCAGAGCGTGGGGATGCGCTTCAGCAGGCTAGACAGCAGGAACAGCTCCTGGGACTGCTGCAGGTTACAGGAGGGAGACTTGCTGGACTGGGGCTGGGTGGGAGCAGGCAAGACAGAAGGCAGAGGGAAGGAGTCTGGGTGTTCTACTGCCTCTAGAATGGCACCACGAAGTCCTGTAACCTGTGGAGGCCTCTGGCCCACAGCAAATTGAGCATGGCTTTACCCATCAGAAGGCCAGAGTGGCTCTTCTGTTTCCAGGTGTAGTCAACAACTTGAGTCCTCCAGAAAGAAAGAAGCATGAGGGGCCAGGGAACAGTGTATGGGCACTGCAGGTTGGGGATGACAGTGATAGGTCCCTGGTGAGTCTTGTATTGTAAGACTTGAGTCTCATCTGCTGTGCTATAATGGAAAGCCTAATATACCCCCTGTGGCCCTCTTCAGGATGCCAAGGAGAAGATGGAACAGCTAGAGGGAGCCCTGAAGAGTGCAGAAATGGGGTCCAACCTGTGTTCAATCCGAAGGCTGCAGAAACAGCACTGCCAATTGGAGGATGAAAGGCAGGCACTGGGCAGCAAGATGGCTACCCTCATCTCCCAGGCCCATAGTGTGGTCACTTCCCAGACCATCCTAGAGGAGATCCAGAAGTGCCAACAGAGGTGAGGCCCTGTCCACAGAGTGACCTCTGTTCTGTCTTCACCCTGCTGTGTCCTCTCACTCATCCTTTGTTAACCCAAAGGCCCAAAGTGTGGCAACTATGTGATCTGGATGTCCAAACCTCCTTTCTTTCTGAGTGGAGATGTTCTGGAGTAGGAGGGTCAGAGATCCCAGTAGGCATCCTAAGCAGGACACCCCTGTCTGGTCAGGCAGGTCCCCTGGGTGGTGAAGTGGGCCCTGTGCCTCCAGCTGCCTACCCTTTTTCAAATATTACTTTCTTGTATTCGCTGGCCTTGTTCTTCATAGGTCCCTGGCTGGGCCAAGGAAGCAATGGGTCTGGTCCTGGCCCCATTCCCAACTTCTCCCATCTTCTCCCTCCACTCAGGTTCAAGTCCCTGCAGAGCCATCTGGTCACCCAGTGCCTACAGTTGCAAGCCTCAGTTGAGCTGTATGAATTTGACCACCTGAGCAACCTGGAGCTCACATGGGTGGCTGAGCACATGCCCAGGACCAGCCCTACCAGCTACACCCAGTGCTGGGATAGTGCCCAGAGCCTTCAACATAAGCACAAGGTGGTGGCCCCTTTTCCTCCCAGGACCCCTGACATCCCATTCCCAGACCTTAGAAGCCTTCTGCCACTACTCAGGGTATTCTGGCCTCTAAGTCCCTTTTCCTGGATTCCATATCTCTGCCCTAGCTATTCTTGATCTGGGGTCTTACCACAACTGAGTGCTGAAGTCACTTCCATGCCTCTGCTCTGGACCCTGTGGTTAAGGGAACTTCAGAGGCAATGCCTGTCATGCTTTCCTGTGGCAGGAACTCCAAGCAGAGTTGAGAGCCCACCAAGGGCAGGTGCAACGGGTGCTATGTTCCGGCCAGAACCTTGCAGCTTCTGGGCACCCCCATGCTCAGCACATCAGGGAGCAGTGCAAGGAGCTGGAAGGCCGTTGGGCAGAGCTGGAGCAGGCATGTGAGGTGCAGTCACGCTGCCTGCAGCAGGCCATCGCTTTCCAACAGGTAGGATAGAGAAAGCACAAGGTCAGGGGAGGGCAGCCCCTGTGGGAGCATTTGTGCACACTCAGGGAGGGAAGTCAGTGGTGAGAGCCTGTGCCAGGAGCTGGCTGGTCCCCATATAGCCAGAAGCCCCTCTATGCAGGCTGCTGGTGAGCACAGTATCCTCAGTGGGTGAGAGAAGGTTCTGTCTGAGATTACCCAGGTGAGTGGTACTATTCTTGGCAGTACTTTCTCCATGCATCAGAGCTGGAGGGCTGGGTAGAGGAGAAGCGGCCACTGGCAAGCAGTCAGGACTATGGCAGGGACGAGGCAGCTACCTTGGAACTCATCAGGAAACACCAGGTACTCATCACTAAGCAACCCCACAGGGTGGACTTGGGTGGTGGTGGACCATGAAGAGGGGGTCTGTCTCACCCCCAAAGGGAACACATGACTTCTCGGAGGCACAGAGCCCTGCTTTTTCTTCCTGAAGACAGGCCCACTGCCCACCCAACTCCTACGGCACCCTCCTCCTCCCCGGCGCTCCTTCTTGCCAAGGCAACCCGAGCGCTGGGACCTGGGAACACTCTCCCTCTGTTGCCTCTCCCTGCTGCCTCAGCCTCTAGGTGTCTCTGCTTCCTCTTCCTCCCTTTCCTCCCCAACACTTTTCTACTCCTTCAGGGGCACCTGCTCCAGCTTACCCCACATCTTCCATGGTATTTTCCTCTCAGGCTTTGAATATCACCCTTAGAGTTAACCAGATGCCCTTCCTGAAACCTCCTTCCTCCCACAGTATGCCCTAATTTAAGGGAAGGAGGCCTGGAAGCCCCCTCCTCATTTCTGGAATTGAACTCTCAGAACCACACAAGCTCCACAGCTTGGACCCCATGACACTACTATTTCCATGTGTGCTATGCCTGAGAACCTTTAGTGAACCATTCCTTTAAGATATGCCTAGAGTCTTGGTCCCATGCAGCCCGTGGCCCAGGCTTCCTTTATTCTGTCCACCTCTTACACTTTGAGCTTGGGGTCTAGTGTGCTTCTCTCTTCCTTGGCCCATACCATCCACCATTCACCCTTTCCTGCTAAACAATGAGCCCTCTGAGGACACAGACCATGTCTTCATTTTCTTGATCAATCAATACGTCATCAGATTTGGGTAATGGGGATGGATGGGTAGAGGGATGAGTGTATGAGTTGATGAGTGAATGGATGGAAGATGAATGGATAGGTGTGGGGAGGGTGGACAGGTGGGTGGGTGGATGGATAGATGAAGAGTCATTGGGTCCTAGCCTTGCATGGGTTCTTATGTTGGCAGGTGCTGCAGGAGGAACTAGCTCTTCATTGGAGCTCCATGGAGAAACTTGACCAGAAAGCTCAAACCCTCTCTGGTCCAGAGGCCCCTGAGCAGCTGGGTGTGATGCAGGAGAGGCTCCGGAAACAGTTGTGGGTGCTACAGGAGCTGGTAGCCTCACGGTGAGAGGCTTTGCAACCCCTCTCATCAGTGGGTTCAGGGGTCTTAGCCTCAATTGACTGTCCCCATGTCACGGCCGTAAGTTGGTACATATGACCCCAGGCCCATATAGATACATCAGGAGAAGGATTTCTTTGTTGTTTATACATAAATTCTTCAATCATCGCCCACTGGGCAGGAACTGGGTGCCTCAACTTAAGGCCATTCATCTCTTCCCCACATCTATACCTTCCTTTTACCTTCCCCTGGTCTTCCTGTGCCTGCTTCTCCCTGAATCCTGGATCATAATTTAAGCAGAGACCATGAAAACCCCCATCCTTCAGGTCACTCCCTTCAACTGGCCCAGCTGTCCCAAGGGGGACAGCAACTAACTCCTTGGGAACCATGGGCTGTCACCACAGGGGTCGAGAGCTGGAGTGGACCCTGAAACTGCATGAGTTCATGTGGGAGGCTGAGGATCTGAAGAGTTGGCTGGCCAGCCAGAAGCAGGTGGCCAGAAGGGAGGAGAGCCTTGGAGAGGACTATGAGCACGTGCTGGTGAGGGGGCGGGGGTGGGGGAAGGACTGGGGCAGGTTATGGGGGAAAGGTAGCTGGTCCTGCTGGGTTAGATGGAGAAGGTGCAGTGGAGTCACGAGTCCTAGCTAAGGACAGGCCTTCAGAGTAGAGTAGGCGGGCTATGCCTGTCCAACCCCACATTTTTCCTGTAGGTCACTGAGATGCCCCACTCCCCAGGCTGCCTGCTGCCTGACCAGTGGGTGCCACACGAGTTATCCATTACCCTCTCTCCTCAGCACCTCTGTACCAAATTTGCAAAGTTTCAGCACCAGATGGAGATGGGTGGCCAGCGGGTGGCAGCCTGTCAGCAGCTGGCAAAGAGCCTGCTGGAACATGGCCACAACACTGCCCACAAGGTCCATCGGAAGCAGCAGGAACTGCAGTGAGTGCAGGAGATAGGGGCAGGGGCTGGGAGCAGGGGAAGGTGTCGGGCAGGGAGTCTGGGGTATTAAAGAGGGTGGCATCCCTCATTGTTATACAAAATTACATATAAGAGGTTGTGAGGGGAATGGGATAATAAACAAGGAGAGAAATGAATTACAGTAGATGGGGTAGAGAGAGAAAATGGGAGGGGAGGGGAGGGGGATAGTAGAGGATAGGAAAGGTAGCAGAATACAACAGTTACTAATGTGGCATTATGTAAAAATGTGGATGTGTAACCGATGTGATTCTGCAATCTGTATTTGGGGTAAAAGTGGGAGTTCATAACCCACTTGAATCTAATGTATGAAATATGATATGTCACGAGCTTTGTAATGTTTTGAACAACCAATAAAAAAAAGATTATATAAATAAATAAATAAATAAGAGGGTGGCATGCTCCAAGGCCCACACAGGTTCTGCCTGTCCATCTGGAGAGGGGCTGGTGCCAGGGAAGACCACAGGTTGAGGTCTGTTTTGGGAGGTGAGGCGAGAGAGCCCTGCCCAGGGCTTTTTCCCACCTACTGATCTCAGAACTTGTAGGAGGAGATGCAGGAAGACTTCCTGGGCCAGGGAAGGGGCTTTTCAATGGGCTCCCCCAGCTCCCATAACTGCCTCCTACGCAGCCCTTACACTCCACTTTCCTAGGTTCCACCCAGCTGGTGTGGATCCACCCCCAGCCTGTGAGCTTTAGGCAAGGTTATGACTTTTTCATAACCCCTAGCACAGGGCCTGGCGTGGTGGAAGCCCTTGAGCTCAGCCAGAGTTTGCTGGCAAATGAGAAATGGAGAGATGTGTCCTCTGCCCCCAAGGCATTTGTAATTTGATTGATATATTGAGAATCAAATATGCAAGATGTAAGGAGTATCACATAGGAGAGAGATCAATTAAGTGCTGAGCATTATACCAGCAAGGGACCAGATTCACAGTGAAGCTAGAGAGAGACTCCTGGAAAGGAGGGAGGTTTGCAGATGGGCCAAAGGCAGGAGGCACTAAGGAAGAGGCCCATTCAGGAGCTTTGGACAAGTTATGGATACAACCCAGGGAGGAGAAGGGTTGAACAGACCTAACAAGGGAGGGGAACTCAAAGCTGATCCCCTGCTGGTCTCCCATGTGCCGCCATCAGGGCTGCCTGGTCAGAGCTATGGGAGCTGACCCAGGCTCGAGGCCAACTGCTCCAAGATGCCAAGACCACCCTCAGAGTTCATGGAGATCTGCTGGAGGCCCTTACCCAGGTCCAGGTGTGAGCTCAGGGGGAGGAAGGGATTCTTTGTAGAAGTGGGTCCTTCCCAGGCTCAGTACCCTACCCACCATTCCTGACCCTGGTGGACCTCTGCTGTCCTCAGGAGAAAGCCATGAGCCTCCCCAGTGATGTGGCCCAGGACCTACATGGGGTGGAAGCCCAACTGAGGAGACAAGAAGGTCTCGAGCATGAGCTTGCGCTCTCTGAGCAGCAGGTAAGCAGATGGGCTGCCTCCCCCACTTGAGCCCTGCAGGTCCCTCTGGCTTGGCCCATCTGTTCTCCTAGATTCCCCCACTGTCCCTCAGCCTCCAGTAGGGCCCATTGTGCATGGCAGGGCATGACCCAAGGAGGACCTGAGTTTTCCCTGGTGGGACACATTTTGGGATGGTCAGGCCTCTGAGGACACAACCCTTCCTCTCTATCCCTTATATAATAACAGCTGCAGAAACTGCTGGAGGCTGGAGGGAGGGTGCAGAAGCTGTGTCCAGGGCCTCAGGCCCGTGCCATGCAGCAGAGGCAGCAAGCTGTGACACAGGCCTGGAAGAACCTGTGGTTGCAAGTGGAACAGCGCAGGGCCCACCTGGAGCGGGCATGCCTCCTGGCCCACTTCCACACAGCAGTGAGAGTTTCTTCCCCTTTTGAGGGGCCTGTGTGTGTGTGTGTGTGTGTGCGCGCGCGCGCGTTGTATTATACCTTGTGTGTGTATGCACTAATGAAAGAAAACTGATGTCTTTGGGGGGGAATGGGACAACAACATGAAAAATATGAGCCCATCAAGATGTTAGTCTGGCTGTTCACGGGTGGAGCCCAGGGGACATGGCAGGGACTTCTCAGGTTTGGATGAATGCCAGCACAAATGAGTGACAGGGTCCTGGCCAGGGCTGAGAAGTGAGAGCCCATTATTGGAGACTCAGATGTTCTAGACAATATCCTCTGGATCAACCTGCATCTATTTAACATCTGTGTTGAGCCCTTTGCTAGGAGCTGTGGGTGGAGAAAGGAGGGTGATATGGAAGATGAAATTTCTGCCCTCATGGAACCCACCCACATTGGGGACATGAGCCTAATATACCAAGGAATCAAATGAGAACAGTGATCCTGGTAGTGAGGTCCCAGGAGTCCCTGTGTTCCAATGCCTGGTAGACCAGGAAGCTCAACCTATGACACTATGAAAAGGCTTGAGTTTAGGGTGCCACTCTGTCACTTTGTAGCACTCTGAGCAAGGCACTTGGCTCTAGGTTGTTACTCTCTGCCAGTCAAACATCTATAATTTGACACATACATGGTGTCACTATCCCCTTTCCCTTATGCATTGTTTGGACAAAAGCCCAAGTCCCTCCAGCTCTGACACTATGATCATCCACAGATCAATAGAAGACAGCAACTTAGCAAGGACCTAAGCAACTCATCCAGACCCTGTCTCTAAATAAAATATAAAAAAGGGCTGGGGATATGGCTCAGTGGTTAAGTGCCCCTAGGTTCAATCTCTTACAGAAAAAAAAAAAATAGAAGACAACTGTAAATGTTAGCTCAGAAGCTTAGAGTGGGAGAGCAGGAAGACATCAATGGACAGGGAAGGCTGCAGAGGCAAAGAAGGCCTCAGCCCTAGAAGAGCAAGGGAGCTATTTACTCAGCAGCCTTTGCCAACCATCTCCTCTCACCAATTTTCCAGGTAAAGTTTTTAGAGATGGTAAAGAAGGACAAGGGATACTAAGCAGGAGGGCAGCAAGTGCTTAGGAAGGAAGGAAGTCTTGGTGAGGGTGAGGGCCTGACACACATGGAAGGTTCTGTGGACCAGGGAGGATGGAAAAACAGGTGTCAATAGCTCCAGGCACCTGAGGCCCCAACCCTGGACAGCTCAGGTGGCTTCAATGTGCAAGTGTATTCCAGTGGGCTACAATTGTGCCTCTGTGCCTAGGTCCCTGCCACCCACGCTTCTTCCTCATCTCCTTGATCAGGTGTGGGACTACACTTCCTGGGCAGCCAGAATGAAGCAGGAACTGCAGGCGGAAGAGAGCTCCCAGGGGCCCAGCAGCAGCCTGCTCAATCTCAAGACTCACCAATGGCTTCAGGCAGAGCTGGAGTCCCGAGAGGAGCTACGACTGCAGGCCTCCCAGTTGGGCCAGCAGGCACTTCTGGCTATAGGGACACCCACCAAGGAGGTGGGTCCCTTTCCTGGCACTCCCAGCCTACCCTGACCTAACCTAGCATGCCTGTTCCTGGGGATCTCTATGGCACACAGGCCTCTCCTCAGAGGCTTCCCCTGGGACTCACTTCCATCTTGTTCATGCCACCATCCCCAGCCCTGCCTCTCCATGTGCCCATCCTCAGGTCCAGGATGGGCTACGAGCCCTGCAGGAAGAGCGAGACCATGTGTTTCGGGCCTGGTCACAGAAACAAGAGAGGCTACAGGCTGTGGAGCAGGAAGAGCTCCTCCTCAGACGGTGCCAGCACCTGGAGAAGATCCTCATGGCCCAGGAGGCAGGTCCCCTGGGCACGTCCCACCTCACATGGCATTATCTCTCGCTCCACTTCTCCCTTTCCCTTGAATCTTTGGCATTTTCTTTGACATAAACACAGAGGCTGTGTGTGAGTCCTCTCAGGTGGCCAGGGTGGAGCACTGGGCCCCAGGCCAGTTTCAGGCCTTCTTCTCCCCATCTCTGACCCCAGACTAAGCCCCAAGGGAGATTGGTCATACTCCCCACTTTGTGCAGAAGTCAAGGCATTGCTGGCTCCAACCCAGGCTCTCACTCACACTGGTGGCTCCTCTGCCTGTGCTCAGTGCTTACATCAGCCACAGCCACAGCCACAGCCAGGCCCTTCGTTCACCCTGGGGCACTGCCTCAGCACAGGGAGGGGCATGCTGGCTGAGAGCCCTCAATGGCTTCTGACTTTTCCATGGCCTGATCCAGATATCCCTGAAAACCGGTGCCCTGGGCAGCTCGGTGGAAGAGGTAGAACAGTTGATCCATAAGCATGTAATCTTCCAGAAGGTGCTGACTGCCCAGGACAAGAAGGTGATGGACCCGGGGAATCCTGGGCACAGTCAGAGTGTTGGGGATGGGGAGAGAGTCCTGTGTGGGGGACATGGCAAGCACCCAGAGGCAGCACTGATATAACTATGGATCAGAGTAGTATGTGTGGCTTAAGTGAGGGTCAGGGATGAGGTGGGCAATGCTGGAGGGGCCACAGTGGGTGCTTGGTTCTGTTCATGACACATGGTTACCAGGGAGCAGCGGATTGGCCAGCCCTTGGCAATGTTAGGCTGAGGGAAAAAACTCCAAGACTCTGGAAGAAAGGACTGTGAGTCCTGGGGCTAGTCCGAGTCTAGTCTCCCAGGGTGAGAAACCAGTAGCCCTGCTTCTGCCCCACAGGAGGCACTTCTGTGTGAGCAGCTGAAGGTGCTCCCAGGCACCAAGAGACAGGACTTGCTTCACAGCATACTGGAGCACGGGGCTCTAGTGAAGGAGCTGGCAGAGAGCCGAGGACACGCCCTGCAGACCTCCCTGCTGATAGCCAGCTTCACCAGGGCTGCAGGCCAGGTAAGAGGGCCACCCACCACCCATTTGGACCTCATCTGGAAGTGCTTTCCATTTGGACCACATCTGGAAGATTAAAATGACCTTCAAGGTGGGCACAGTGGCACACGCCTGGAATCCTAGCTACTAGAGAGGTTGAGGCAAGAGGTCTAGAAGTTTGAGGCTAGCCTCAGCATCTTTGCAAGACCCTGTCTCAAAATGAAAGATAAAAAAGGCTGGCATGTAGCTCAGGGCCCCTGGGTTCAATTCCAGCACCACAGAAGAAAGGAGATGACCTTTATACCATAATCCTGTAATGAGGAAAACTGAGATTTGGAGAGTTAAATTATTTCCCAGGCACCATGCTGGAGGACAGAACATTTGATTCTAAGCAAGTGTGTGGAGACTTGTTTCTTGAGTGCTAGCCAGGCCAGGACAAAGGGGCAAGGAAATGAGCGGAACAGTTCAGGGTCCCAGGAGTAGGGGTCATATCTCTGAAGCGAGATCCACCGCAAGCCCCCTCACCTAGCCACTTCCTGTGGCTGGGAGCCAGCTAGGCCTGGGACATCTAATTTACCTTCTGGAACCCATTTAATATACCACACACTGCCGGCCCTGGCCCTGGCCAGTAACCCACCACCTGGTCTCAGCTGAGGGGGCAGCCTGGAGGTTGGGGCATCACAGAATTATGTTTCCACTCCCACCAGGCTGAGGACTGGATTCAGGAGCGGGCACAGCAGCTGAGAGAGCTGATCCCTCCTAGGGACCTGAAAGATTATTTGAAGCACCTCCAGATACACAAGGCCTTTGAGTCTGAGGTCCAGGTCCACCAGCAGGTCATGACTTCAGTTGCCAAGGTAACAACAGCCCTAAGTTATAGCCTGCTTTAAAGTGTGGACTCCAGGATGACCCAGGGTAAGGTCTCAGGCAGGAAGAAAGGCACCTGCAAGTTCTCTGTCCCCTCTCTCCCTAGCAGGGGGAAGCTCTCCTGGCACAGAGCCACCTTCAGGCAGGAGAGGTTGCTCAGAGGCTACAGGTGCTGCAGAAGCACTGGGAGAAGCTGAAGCAGATGGTGGCTCTCCGGGGCCGGGACCTGGAAGACAAGCGGAACTTCCTGGAGTTCCTGCAGAGAGTGGACCTTGCAGAGGCCTGGATCCAGAAAAAGGTGGCGACCCAGCTGAGCAGGGGCTGGCTGGGGGCTGGAGGCTGAGAATCGGGGCAGGGAGGAGCACAGGCCCATGGTTCTCTGGCTCCCTGACAGGAGGTTGTCCTGGAAGGTAGTCCCAAAGCGTCTACCTGCCCCTTCCTACCCCAGTACTTGGTGCCAGGGGACTGAGTGCCTGGAGCCAGAGCTCAGCATGCTGTCTTCCCCTCCCTTGGCCTCTGTAGGAGATGATGGTGAACACGGGTGACCTGGGCCAGGACCTGGAGCACTGCCTGCAGCTTTGCAGAAGGCTCCGTGAGGTCCGAAGTGCCACGGCCAGGGTAAGGGACTCTGCCAGGGAGGGGTTGGGCACAGCATCCCCCTTTGGGAAATGCAGCTGGGAGCAGTGAAAGCATGGGCTACAGAGAAGGGTGTGGCCCAAGTGTCAGTTCTGCATTCACCGCTTGCACTCATGCAGTCAGCTTCCTTCTGATCAGGACTTCATTTCTTCGCCTCTGTATTGAGGATCATGCCTGCCTCAGAGGTGGGGGGCAATTATATGAGTCTCTACCTGTGAAAAAACTGCACAGACATATGTTTTTCCTACACACACACATACACACACACACACCATCAACAATAGATGAAAGCTGAGTTGAGTCTGGTTTGGTTAATAGTATTACACCGATGTGAATTTCCTGGTTTTATTATTGTATCATAGCACATAAGATGTCACCAAGAGAGAAGCTTAGGGAAGGTACATGGAGCCTCTCTGTACTACTTTTACAATTTCCTATGCATCTATAATTATTTCAGAAAAAAATTAAAAGAGATTGCATATACCTGGGTGTAGGAGGTAGTCAATCCCTCCCTCAGTGTGACTTCTTCAGTATCTTAGCATCCCTTCTTATCCCCTCCCCATGAATTACACCAGAACTATTTTTCTTATGTGGTATAGAAGAAAGCAATTTGGCAGTGTATTCACAATCAGCTGTTAGAACTCAGATGTGCTAATCTCCTCCCCTTGATATAAAAAAAAAATATGATGGTTTTTATTTTTTAAAATATTTTTAGTTGTAGATAGACAAAATACCTTTATTTATTTATTTTTATGGTGGTGCTGAGGATAGAACCCAGCTTCACACATGCACGGCAAGCACTCTATCACTGATCTACAACTCCAGCCCTATATGATGGTTTTCAAAGGCTGCATTGCCTAATCTGACATGTCCTTTGCTTGTGGTATAATTGTACCATACAGATGTTGTGCCAGATGGTATAGCAGGGAAAGAGTTGGAAGTGGCCTCAACCCAGGCTAATCATTGAGGGCAGGACACCCAAACTGTAGAAGATTGGAACACACCATGTACCTCTACTCCATTTTTTTCCTTCTTTTATTCCAACAAGCTGCATTTTAACTTTTTTATATTTATTTTTTAGTTGTAGGCAGATCCAATATCTTTATTTCATTTTTATGTCGTGCTGAGCTTTGAACCCAGTGACTCACGTGTGCTAGGCGAGCACTACCACTCAGCCCCAGCCCCAGCCCCTGCATTTTAACTTTAAAAGCTTCTGGTCTTGATCCCTGGGAGAGGATCTCCTGGTCTGAGAGATTCTGGAGCTGATGACTCTAAGCTGATATCATTCACTCTTCCTGGCAGGGGTGGCCTCTGGCCCTGCCACAGGAAAGGAAGCAACTGCTTCATGTGCCTCAAACACACTGCTCCTAGTTCCTGAGTGCCAACTGAAGTGCCAGGAAGGGGCTCTGAGCAGGTGGTACCAGTGGCCTTACTTGCACCTCCCCCATAGGACACAGTGGGTGACACCTACATCAGGAGCATCAGTGACTTATCACTGCAGCTCAAGAACCAGGACCCTGAGGAGGTCAAGACCATCTGCCAGCGGCGAAGTCAGCTCAACAACAGGCCAGTCCCAGACTGGGCAGGGCAGGGGGGCCAGGAGATGGGCAGACAGCCATCTCAGGCTCCCCTTTTTACTACCACCCCTTGGCCAGGTGGGCGAGTTTCCAAGGCAACCTGCTCCAGTATCAGCAGCAGCTTGAAGGGGCCCTGGAGATACATACATTGTGCAGAGAGCTGGATGACATCACTGAGAGGATTGGGGAGAAGGTAAGCAGTAAAAAGGGGACCCTTGTGCATTGAGTCAGGGAAGTAGACCTAAAGTATCCCAGTGTTCCACTCTTCAGCTAGGCATTTAGAGGTTGGCCCCATCAGAGTTCCACTGGGGGTGTCTGATAAAGGATCAACAACAGACTATAGACCCACTTGCAGGCTCCACAGCCAGCCCACCTGCTCATTTTCTCCCCCAGATGTGCTATAGGACTAGAGGCCAGAACACGCCCTCTGTTTCCTCCAGCCCCTGAGCAAGCCAAAACCTTACAGGAGGCTTGTGCCAGGGTAATTTCAACCACCACACAGATATAGGCACTAAAAGCTGTTCAGAAGGAAGTAAAGTCACGTGCAACCTGGGAAGTCCCACGTGAAACAGGGCCCTGTTCTGGGCCCACCCAGCTTCCTCCTCCTCCAGTTACCCTCATACAGAGAGACCCAGGACTCTGTGCTGCTTGCCCCTTTTCCTCCAAGGTCTCCAACTCCTCAGGGATGGGAGTCAAAAGAAACAAAATATTAGGAAGCACCACACATAGAAAAATTCTTACCTAAGAGGATTCTTTCCACATTGCCACTGTGGGGCTGCCTAGCCCTCTGCAGTGAGGGAACTGGCAGAATCTAAGGTCAAACCCATAAATATGGCCTCTCTCCCTCACCCCTCAGGGATCCCTGATCCAGACCCTAGAGGGTCAGAAAGATCTGGAGAGCATTCAGAAGCTGATGTGGAAACACAAGGTGCTGGAGCAGGAAATGGACCTCATCCAGGTTCAGGTGGAGGTATGTAGCTGGGGGTACAAGTCGGTCCAGGCCATGATTGTCTCCTCCCGTGGTCTCTAGCAGCCAGGAGGCAGAAAGGGCTTTAAGATCCTGCAAGCCACACACCAGGGGCTTTCCACAGCCAGAGCCTCCCCTACCCAGCCTCTGACCCTGACTTCTTCTGCAGTCCCTTGAGCACAAAGTGGGCCACCTCTGCCAGAGAAGACCTGGGGCAGCCCATGGCCTCAGTCACAAGAAGCAAGAGATGATGGGCAGCTGGTGGCAACTCCAGAGCAGAGCCCAGAAGTGGTATGAACCCCCTGGGCCTCACTCCCTCACTGACCCATTCCCTCCAGAATCTTAGTCTCTATACTTCCCCTCAGTTCCTGTTTTCCCCTAAGATTCTGTATTGCCAACTCATTCATTCCCAGCACAGGGCTCTTGTGTGCTGAGGGGATTAAGGGATAGGAGACCACGTGGGTGGGCATGGGGAAAGAGGGGACTGGTGGCCTAGGACTAGCCGATGAGCCCTGTGGGTAGGAAGGAGTTGCTGGATTCCCTGCACCAAGCTCAGAAGCTCCAGGCACTGCTGCAGGAATTGCTGGTCTGGGCCCAGAGGCTGAGGGCTGAGATGGACCTGCGAGGTGCCCCTTGCAGCCCTGCAGGAGCCAGACACATGCTAGATGAGCACCAGGCACGCAAGGTGAGCAGCAGGGTCACTGTGCCTCTCTGGACTTTATCTCCTCCCTGCTGCCTCTTTCCCTGACTCCCATTTGTCCTGCATCCTTTCTCTGTCTCCTGCTTTCCTCTGTCCTCTTCTGTCCCACCCCTCGGCTGTCTTTCTCACCTCTCTCCTTTGGGCCTCCTGCAGCCCTCAGCCTGCAGGAGGATCTGAGCCCAGTTCCATTCCAGGCTGAGATAGATGCCCGGAGAGATAGCATCAGTCTGGTTCAAAGCACTGGGCAACGCCTCCTTGCAACTGGGCACCCATCAGCTCCTGGCATTCGGCAGGCCCTGGCTGCTTTAGAACAGGAGCTGAGTGGCCTGCAAGGAGCTTGGCAGGAGCACCAGCGGCAGCTGCAGCAGGCCCTGGAGCTGCAGGTAGGTACCACCCCAGTGTCCAGCTTGTCCTTACTGTCAGGGTCTTCACTGGTCCCACAGTCTTTTTGGCTTTCCAGAGCCAAAGCCAGAGGGGCTACTGAGCCAGGGCTTTCCCACCCGTCCCTACTCAATTTGCCCACAACAGGATTGGCTTGGCATGGACTTGATCCCTGGAGCTGGGCCCCTGGTTTCCCCATGTGGTCCCTCAAAGGATCACCTCCCCTGAAGCAACTAGACACTCTGCTGACTTTCTTTTGCCTTATCTTTTCTCACCAGCTATTTCTGAGCTCTGTGGAGAAGGTGGAATGTTGGCTATACTGCCAGGAAGTTTCCCCAATCAGTGAGGGTGTTGGGGTAGGTGCCCAGCAGGAGTTGGAGAGGAGGTACATGAGCAGGATGGAGTCGAGCCAGTCAAGGCTCTCCAGACCAAGGGTCCCCTCCTCCTCCTCCTCCAGCACATCAGACATTGAGCAGTTACTCACCGATCAGTGCTTCTTGTGCACCCAGGGTCATACCCTGGGGAATACCCTGGGAGCTAGAAAGTGAGCCTGTGGCCCTGTCCCCTCCTCGCCTCCCTCCTACCCACCTCATCACTGCCCTCCTCTCTTCCCACACACCCAGACCTTCACTTTTTCCACCGCCTCCCAAACCCTGTGACAGACAAGTGGAACTTATAGAGACCTCAGAAAATAATTCCAGGCTGACAGAGTCTCATTGGGAGTGCAGAAGAGAGGGAGAAAGTTCTGCCTACCTGGAAATTGACTCTAGACCCAATGCCCCTGGCTGAGAAAGCTGGAAGCAGCCTTGACAGGTTCAAGAGATGGGTTTGGACAGAGCAAGTTCTTTGGTGGAAGAGGATTTAGCAGGAAGACTCTGGAATGTGAGGAGCAGATAGCTTAGGACAGGGAGGGGACAGCCCTGTGAATACCATCTGGTTTTGCTCCCCCTAGGACTCTTTGGCCAATGTGGATACCCTCCTATGGAAGCACAAGAGGCTTGAGCAGGGCTTGAAGGTACAGATGGAAAAGATCAGCACACTGGAGGCCACAGCCCACAGCCTACAGCAGGGTGGACAGCCAGAGGCCCAGAGTGCCCTGACCAAGTGGCAGGCCATGCTCCTGAGGTGCCTGTAGCTCTGGGGTGATGGGAATTGTGGGTGGGCTGGCATGGGCACTTGGCATCCCAGCTCTTCCCTTTCTACCATTCTACCCTTAACTCATGCTCACCAGCCTGTTCCAAGGGCTGAGCTCAGATGCTACGGTCCCCACCCCTCCTGCCTTGCAATGTATTGGCCTGCAATGTATTGGCCTGTAATCCCACTTCCTTCTTCAGTCAGCTGAAATAAAAGGGAGCTTTTTAAATATTTTTTAAGTTGTTAATGGACACAATCCCTTTATTTATTTATTTATTTGTTTATTTTTATATGATCCTGAGGATCGAACCCAGTGCCTCACACATGCCAGGCAAGCACTCTTCCACTGAGCCACAGCCACAGCCCTAAAAGGGAGTTTTACTAAAAAGCACACACTTAGAAACTTAGAGGGCAAACAATCTAATGAAAGGGAAGGCACCAGAGCACAGTGCTTAAGCATTAGCCCTCTAGTGCCAGACAGCCCTGGATTCCTCTGCCACCCACTACAGGTGGAACTTGAGGCAAGTTCCTCTCTGTCATAGAGGAGTCTTGAACCTACAAGGGGCTAAAATACTGTCTCCATGGGGCTGTGGCATCTCAGTCACAGGCAGGCAGCAGATCTCTTACACTTAGGTAATTTCAGTCACAGATACACATGAGCTTCACACTTATGAGACACTAGACTCTGCCTTCTTTCTCATGAAAGCTCATCCAGTTCTGCTGCCTCGTCCAGCTCTTGAACTTTAAGATTGAGGCAGATATGGCCAAAAGCTGGACCCCACATCAGCAAGGACCATCCTTCCCAGAGAGCCCACCAGGGCCTATTAATTTTGTGATTCCAGCCCATCTCCTTTCCATTCTTTTTTTAAATTTATTTTTTATTAGTTCTAATCAGTTACACATGACAGCAGACAGCTTTTCGATTCATTGTACACAAATGGAGCACAACTTCTCATTTCTCCTGTTGTGCACAATGTGGAGTCGCTCCACACGAGCAGTCATACATGTACCCTCTCCATTCTTGCAGGTGGACCTCACCTATGTGAGGAAGTGTTTGAAATGACAAATGGAAAATGTTGGTTTGCTGGTCTCTGTCACCTTGGGTGGCTCCTGGCAGGCCTGGCTGATTCTGGCACAGTGCCAACCTGTCCCCTCCGGGGTTTCTGCCATCCTCAGGAGGAGGTTTCCCTTCAGTTAGGCCCATTTATGCCTCCACCCCCCCCCATAGCCTCTGGCAGTGGGGTTCACACTCTCACTAGTGTGGGGAACTCAGGTGGGGAAGTGTACAGAGTCTACAGGGGTGAAGGGATATGAGAACCTCTTTTTCTATATCTCTTATAGGTCTCATTTACAATCTTTATTTTCATGTATGTGGCAATGTACTTAATACAGTGGTACAGAAGCACATATATAAAATGCATAAATTGGTGTATAACATATATACCTATATTACATTTCAAGTGTTAAATTGTCATAATCATAAATTATGTTAAATATTATCTATCTTTATCTATCTACATTTGGAGTGCCTGCTTAAAATATTCTTACTACTAATAATGCATAATTAAAAAGTGGCTTAGATACTGTATAAGTCTGTTTGGACTGCTATAACAAAATGCCACAGGCTGGGTAGTATAAACAATAGAAACTTGTTTATTCATAATTCTAGAAGCTAGAGGTCCAAGATCAAGTTGTCAGTAGGGTCGGTTTCTTGGCCTCTCTCCTTGGCTTATAGGTGGCCATCTTCCCTCTGGACTCACATGGTCTCCTTCCTCTCTGGGTGTTTCTGTGACCTCATTAAGAATACTTATCGTATCAGATTAGGCCCACCCCTATGACTTCATTTGAACTTGGTTATCTCTTCAAAGACCTTATCTCCAAATACAGTCCCATTCTGAATTTCCAGGAGCTAGAATTTCAATGTAGGGGATACAGCTCAACTCACAAAAAACACTAATATAGAGGGGATGTTTCATGATTTCAAAGGAAACCTGATTCAGGACTGTGATGCCAAGAAAAGATGTTCTAGGCTATGTGCACATGTTACACATGCATATACACACCTGTAGCAGCTCCAAGTCCTGATGGGTGAGACTGGGGGCCTATGAGACCCTCCTTCTGCAGGAAAGAAGCACTGGTGGAGCGAGTAAGGACCCGGGGTCGTCAGCTGGAGGAGTTGCAGCAGCTGCAAACCTTTCTGCAGGATTCGCTTGAGGTTCTCCTTTCTTGGAGCAGGAATAGTTGTGGGTGGGGGAAGGAGATGCCCCAGGGAAAGGTCACCCTTCTTCCAGGGCACCCCAGAAGTTAGGAAGGGAGGAGAGTCCAAGGCCGCAGAACCTGATCCTCCCCATGCACCTAGCTGGCCACGTGGCTGAGGGAGAAGAACCTGGTGGCTTTGGAAGAAGGTTGGCAGGACCCAGCCAAGCTGCAAGCACAGTTATGGAAGCAGCAGCATTTCCAGGCTGAGCTGGATGCGAGTGTTCCCCAACAACAGGAGCTGCAGAAGGTGAGACACCATGGGGCTGAGGGGGCCACAGACTGCCTGCCCCTCAGAGCCTGGAAGCTGGTCTGGAACCATGGTTGTGACAGCTGATGTTCATCAAGTGCTTTCCTTGTGCTAGTGCCTCGCACTGACATGTAGTGGCATGCACCGGCATGCAGCAGGTTCTTCCTCCGGGTTCCCTCTCCAAAAGTGGTGACTTTTCAATAATCTTAAAGGTAACATTTTGACATGTTAAGTGCAGTTAAGTGCAGATAAGCAGTTATGTAGGTAGAGGCAGCAAAACATAACACCTTTAAAAACATTTCCTTTTCTATCTACAAAGGCAGGTCTCGACTCCAGGCTGACATAAAGTGACCTACTAAGTATTTCATACACTCTATCTCACTTAAACAAATTACTATTATTATCTTCACTATATGGATGAGGAACATATGGCTCAGAGAGGCTGAGAAACTTGCCCAAGATCACATAGCTGTGGGGCTGGTCATTGAAGCCAATACAAGGGCCGTGGTGCCAGCAGTCCTGAGTCTGTGAGGTATATGTCATGTTGTGAATGCAGGAGGGGCAGAGACTGCTTCATGGGGGCCACCCAGCCTCAGAGACCATTCAAGAGCAGCTTCAGGAACTGGAAGAGCTCTGGGCTGAGCTGCAGGCCAACTGCCAGAGGAAAGTCACCAAGCTGCAGAAGGCCTGTGAGGTGAGGCTGTGACATGCTATGGAGCATTTGGGTGGGCTCTGGTCTCCCCCTTATACCTTGTCATTTCTGCCCCAGGTCCTACATCTACAGAAGAGTGTAGAGGAGCTGGAGAGGGGGCTGGAGCCCATTGAGGGCCAGCTGAAAGCCCCTTTCACAGGCCAGAACCTATCTGGGGTAGGCAAGCTCCTGGGGGCACAGGGGGAACTGGAAGTAGCCCTGGACATGCAGACCAGGCAGGCAGAGGCCCTACTGGGTCAGGCCCAGACCTTCAAGCGGGATGGCTACTGCCTCGCCAAAGACGTGGAAGAGCAGGCCCAACAGCTGCTTCAGAGGTAGATCAGCATGTTTCTTCCTCTTCCTCCGTTCCTTAGAGGGACACCTGCCCCCTCTTCCTAGCTCATGTCTTCTCATTTTTTCCCCCAGTCCATGATGAGGGTCACAGAAGGGGGTAAACTCTACATCACAGTCTAGGCTCAGTTCTGATGACATGTTCCTCTCCTGCTTCTGCCCTCCCCTGCTGCAGGTTGCAGAGTCTTCGAGAGCCCCTGCAGGAGCGCAGGGCAGCCCTGGAGGCCCAGAGCCTCCTCTTAAAGTTCTTCAGAGATGTTGATGAGGAGATGGCCTGGGTGCAGGAGAAGCTGCCCTTGGCCACTGCCCAGGATTATGGCCAGAGCCTGAGTGCTGTGCGGCACCTGCAGGAGAAGCACCAGGTGCTGGCTCATGCTGGGAGGTGCTGCCTTCAAAAGTGGGAAGGGTTCACAGATAAGGAACATGCATTATGGTCCAACTAGGCTCTCCCTGCTTTGGAGGGCACCATAGATTCTTTGTGTACTTGGGACAGGGGAACAAGTCTATGGGGTGCCATGAGGTTTCAGGCACAACCCTTGAGGCACCCCAAGTGTCAGAGCATCCCTGTTTTTATTTTATTTTTCCTCCTCCACAGAACTTGGAGAGTGAAATGAGCAGCCACAAGGCTCTGACCCAGGTGGTGGTAGGCACAGGGCGTAAGCTGGTGCAGGCTGGGCACTTTGCTGCCCATGAGGTGGCTGCCCGGGTGCAGCAGCTGGAGGCAGCCTTGGACCAACTGCAAGCAGAGATGGCACGGAGGAGACTGTTGTTGCAGCAGGCCCAGGAGGCCCAGCAGCTTCTGATGGAGGTGAGAAGGTGGAGCGCAGCTGGGGAGGGCTGGACCTGAGAATCACCTGCAAGGGCCAAGTGCTGTGCATCTTCTCTCTCCCCCACTAAGAGGTTTCACGTCCCAAGTTCTTTCATCTGCCTGTTCCCCAGAAAACAGGCCACTGGATTGTTTGCTTTGTTTCACTGTTTCTTCTAAACCAGTGGTTCTCAACCAGGGCTTTGCATCAGAATCACCTGGAGACTTCATCTTGTGATTCTCCCTAAATTACCTCACAATGGTGAATACATTTGTATAAGAAGAGAAATTAGATGAAGTAATAAGAGGTAAAAAGGAAAAACATGGAAAGGAATATTGACTAAAATCTTGTTCTAATATCATGTGACAAAAACAAAATCTATGCCTGAGAATCTAGAATAAAGTGTCTTTACTTTGTGTGAAAAAAAAGAATCACCTGGAGCCTTCAGGAAACATTGATCTCTAGGCGTGGCAGTGTTCCCTATAGTCCCAGCTACTCAGGAGGCCAAGATGGAGGGGAGGGTCAATCACTTGAGCCCAGGAGTTCAAGACCAGCCTGGACAACATAGTGAAATCCAGTCTCAAAAGAAAACAAAAGAAAAAGACACACTGATGCTCAGACTTCATCCAAACCTGTTGAGAATCTGCCAGGGTGGGGCGCAGGCTTAGGGAGTTGGTGAGGACCTCCACCAGGGGATTCCAGCTGACAACTACAGCTCTAAATCTCAAGGCCACAAATCACAGGCTGGAGTCCCAGGGTCTTCATCCAGGGAAAAAATGATCTGTTTTCACCCCAGCTCCTGGAAGCAGGATCCTGGCTGGCCGAACGGGGCCATGTCCTTGACAGTGAGGACATGGGCCAGAGTGCTGAGGCCACACAGGCCCTTCTGCGTCAGCTGGAGGCCACCAAGAGAGACCTGGAGGGATTCAGTCAGCGCATGAAGCAGCTGCAGCAGTCAGCAGCCCTTCTGGACAGCAGGCAGAACCCAGACAGGTGGGCCACAGCCACACCTTCCTGGGAGGAGAAGGGTGCCCCCCACCGAGGTGGCTGAGGCTGGCTACTCCAGCCTGCAGAAGGGTGCCAGTCCTAACTGTCCTTCCTGCTGTAGCCCCAAGGTGCTGGCTCAGCTGCAAGCTGTGAGCAAGGCCCACGTGCAGCTGCTCCGGAGGTTGGAGGGCAGGGGGCAGGGCCTGCAGGAGCAGCTACAGCTCCACCAACTGGAGCAAGAGACCCTGCTCCTCGATGCCTGGCTGACCACAAGGGTGGCCATCGCTGAGTCCCAGGACTATGGGCAGGACCTGGAGAGTGTCAAGGTGGGTCAGTCCTGGGCAAACCTGGGGACAGTGAATTCAGGCTGAGCAAGAGTGAGGAAGGCCTGTGTTTGAGGATGAGAGGGATGCTGTGGGGGTGCAGCAAGGAAATGGGAAGGGGCATCTTTAGGAGGATCCCTGTGGTTCTAGAACCAGGGCCGACAGATTATGTAGCCATTGGATCCTGCCAAGCTCTTCATGAGCTCCACAGGCTTCTAGACACTACCTTCAGAGTGACACTACCTGATTCCACAAACTTGCAGGTGCTGGAAGAGAAGTTTGATGCTTTCAGGAGGGAAATCCAGAGCCTGGGGCAGGTCAAAGTGCAGGCCCTGAAGGATCTGGCAAGGCCCCTGGAGAAAGGAGCGCCTAGGTACTATCCCCAGATTCAAGCCCAGAAGTGCCGCATTGAGGCCACTTGGGAGAAACTGGACAGGACAATCAAAGTACGTACAGAGGTAGGCACCCACAGACCAGGGTGGACAGGGTAGCCAAGGGGCTGGCCCATCCTGTTCACTGCCAGCACCAGAAACAAGCAGCCCTATCAGCTGTGGAGTGTGTGCATGCGTGCACTGGTCTAATTCCCAAAGACAAGCAGGTGGGGGCCTCAGTCCCCCCATCTAGCTCTCTCCACTGATCTGGCTTCCTCCTAGTACCATCGACAGCTTCAAGAAGCAGCAGGTAGTGTGTCTGGCCAGCTTCTAAATCCATTGAAGCCTTTCCCTTTCCCAAGCATGGGCTTCAGTTCTAATAAGACAAACCTTGTCCCTTCTCTTCTTCAACAGTCTCACACTTAACTCCATGTGCTCTCTCCTCTTGCAGTGCCAAGTTCTCCCCCTTCTCCCTCACCCACTCCCCAAATCTAAATGCTCTGAGTGGGTTTGTTCACTAAGGAAATCCGTTTTCTTCCAGAACCTTAGCTCTTGACCATAGCTGCTGGTTTCTGAGAGCAGTCCAGCTCATTGAGCCCTTGACTGACCCCACAGCGCAAGGATCCTGGCCTGGGGCAGTCAGCTCCAAAGCTAACCCACTCCTCCTGTCCTGGCCCCAGCAGAAATGCTACAGCTGTGGCCTGCCCAGACCCTCCCACAGACCAGCCTGCTCTTTACATGAATGGATGTGTCCTCAAGCACTCCAGGGCCACACTCCCATGAGATGAGTACTGAAAGCTCCTTCTCAACCCTAGTAACATCACATTCATTGTGTAGCTACCATGTCTAGGACATTTCCTGGGGGTCATGGATGACTCATTACATCCTCATTCAAAAGGAGGTAGCTGAAGAGGCCATGTCTCAGGGAGAAGAGACCCTGGGAACAGAATGCAGCCCTAGCAGGGCCTCCTTTCTCTCCCAGAACTTGGTTGCAGCCCGAGAGGTCCGTGGCTTAGAGAAGGCAGTTACAGAGCTTCAGGGCTGGATGCAGGAGAAAACTGCCCTGATTGAGGGAAAGATCCATAGCCACTGCCTGTCATCTGTGCAGTCCTTGCAGCCCCAGCACAGGGGCCTGCAGGTGAGGACCTTGCCCAAGGCCTGCCCATCTGAGCACCTCCCAGAGGCCAGAAGTGTATCTGTCCATCTCAGCCCCTTCCCAGAGGTCCACAGGAGTCCTCTCCACCCAGGGATTCTATTTGGGCCTTCCCCCTCAGGGCCCTGGAACTTGGCCCAGATTATAGAGCAGAATGTAGGGTGCTCCTTAGAGAGACCTGGGCTTCTGAATGGGGAGCATGCATGAATGGGGGTACAAAGGGGAGACTGTGGGCTGATCTTGTGTTCTGGTTGCAGAGAGAACTGGCGGCTATCAAAAAGGAGTTGGCACGGGTACAGATGGAAACCTGCAGACTGGGACAGTGGCACCCTGAGGCTCAAGAGGGCCTGGCCACGCAGCTGGCCAAGGTGCAGAAGGCCTGGGCCACCCTGGAGGCGAAGGCACAGGAGTGGGACCAGCAGCTGGCACAGGCTGCCCAAGGCCATGCCTTCCTTGGGCACTGCCGGGAATTACTGTAGGTGGTCTTCTGCCTTGGCAGTTGGTTCAGCTTTGCCTTGAGGGATGGCGGTCATCCTGGATTTGGGAGAGCAGAACTGTCTCTGCCCTTGTCCCCCAGGCTGTCCTGCCAACTCTGGTAGCAGCTTTCTTTCCCTGCAGAGCATGGGCTCAGGAGAGGAAGATGCTGGTGTCTTCCCAGGAGCTGGCTGGGGACATGGTGGGGACTGAGCAGCTTCTTGGGCAGCATGAGGAGCTGCAGCAAGAAATCCAGGAGCATTGCCTTCAAGCCCAGGACATACAAAAGGAAGGACAGAAAATGGTGGAAAATGGCCACTTTATGTCCCTGGAGGTGTGAGCATAGAGGGTGGGATGAGCCCAACTTCCCAATGCCTTGGAACTTGAGCAGGTGTGAAAACCAGCAGTACAGGAAGGCCCGGGAGGGACAGAGTGGCCACAATGGGGAAGGTCCCTCTGCTTTCAGTTTGGTTCTCTTGCCCTTCCTGGAGTGGGAGTGCCACGAGTGCCTAGCTCTCATTGCAGCTGTCCTTCCCTTTCAGGTGGCAGAGTATCTGCAGGACCTGCATTGGCAGCTGCAGGAGCTCCAGGCAGAGTGGACCCTGTGCCAGCAACGCCTCAAACAGACCTGGGATCTGCAGAAGCTGAGGCAGGGTGTAGAACAGGCAGATGCCTGGCTGGCTTCCAGGGAGGGCCTCTTGCTGGAGCCCAGTTTTGGGGTGAGTGGAGACTACCCAGAGCCAGATGTCCTCTGGCAGCCATGGCCCAGGACAGACCCTACTGCTATTCCACTCACTGGTCACCCAGGCTGGGTTGCGGAGGGTGAGGGAAGGCTCTCAGCACCCAAGAAACTGGACCTTACCCTGACTCACTTCTCTCTAGCACTCAGTGTCAGATGTAGAGCTGCTGCTCCACAGACACAAGGATTTAGAAAAGCTGCTGGCAGTTCAGAAGGAGAAGTTTGCCCAGCTGCAGAAGATGACAGAGGTGCGGGGACGCTGGGGCAAGGGGCAAGCAAAGGCTTTGTACACCTGGAGAACAGAGCCTGAGGGTAGTGCATGGGGAGAGTCTCTAAGCCTGAAAGTCAGGGCTCCCCTCACCACCAGCATCTCCCTGGAGCATATGGCCAGACAGCAGGAGCCCAGGAACTCAAGGTGGTAAGGACCCATCCCCTGGAATAATCAGCAGGAGCTGGCACACTGTCCATAGAGTTGAGGGACATTAGAAATAAAAAAAGTAGAGTAGGAGCAGGTTAGGAGGACCTTCCAGAAAAGGATCATTGTGCTGATCCCATCTTTTCAGGAGACAAAGAGTACCCCTGCCATGAAGGGGTCTCTCGAGCTTAAGCAGCAGCTCCTGCCTGGGGGGAAGGTGGTAAGTGCCAGAAAATTCCCCATGCAGTCCCCCTTTGCAAAACCACTCTGGCTCAGAAGTGCCACCTGGGGCTTGGCTTTTGGATTTGGATAGAGCAACTGAGTCCCTGCTCTCAGGTACTTCACAGCCTCTGTCCCACCCAGAAGGGGTAGGGCTGCTCCTCTCTTCCTACTTTTCTTGGTTTCCTTGTTAGAGTCCCTCCTGGTTCTAATGACCTTGGTGCAGCCCAGGACTTCCCCTGGGGGGCTCTGGACGAATGATGGGGCCAGACCTGGCTGTTGCCTCCCCTTTATGTGCTACCTCACCACCTCTCTCCACAGCATGATGCCAGCTCCTGGGACAGTTGCTATGGGGCCTTGGAAGGCAGCTCTCTAAGGTTATTCTTGGATGAGAGGATGGCAGTAGAGGTACCAGACAGCAAAGGGAGCAAGAAATGGAATTTGGGGGCTGGAGACAAGGCCAAGGGGTCAGAGGACAGAAAGAAATCCATGGAAAAGCATAGATGTCCACAGTTACCCTGTACCTAATTTCTCTTCAGAAAGTGGCTTCCACTGTCCCCCTTGACCTTGAGGGAGCCCAGTGTGAGAAGATGAAGGACTACCAGGGCAGGAAGCACGTGTTCTCCTTAAGGTGAGATTGACTCCACCTGCAGCCATAAAGCTGAGGGGCTGGAGGCAGTGGTTTGAGTTTGACCCATGGCTGCTTGGGTGCCAGGCTGAGCAACGGGGAAGAGATCCTGTTTGCAGCACCATCTGAAGAGCAGGCTGAGCGCTGGCGGCAAGCCCTGGGCAGTGCAGCAGGTAGGCTTATGGGGAAGGATTGGTGATGGCAGGGGCAGGGTATTGATTCCCTGGGTCCTAAACTCCCAGTTCAACTGGCACTGGGAAATTTCACATCAAGTATTTCTAACCCCTGAGAAATACCTGGGACTTATTTTCTTTCCTCAAAGAATTCAAGGCCCAGAGATGTTAAGTAACTTGTTTAAAGTTACGCGGCTACTTGGCAGGAGGTGGAGCCTATCTGACCCCCAGCTGCCTCATAGTCCTGTTCCGCCCCCTTTGTAGTCTACCACTTTTGAAACCCACACCCAAGCCCTTCCTGCCAGGATCCTTGTGGATTCTGTTCTGTCAAGGATATTACAGGTTCTGCTTTATCTGCTCTTGAGGGATTTCTCTAATCCTCAGACACCTCTGAATGCTACCTCCTTGAGGTGTCTTGTGAACAGTGATCAAGCCCGGTTCTACCACCAGGAGGAACACCAGAAAGCACCCCCTTCAACCATTTTAGCCTTTGTTGGGTTGTAGCAAGGCTCTGTGTTGACAGTGTGATCAGGGAATGTCCTGGCCCCATTCCTCAGTTTCCCCTGGGCTCTATCTTTGTGGACCTCTTCCCACAATTCCCAAAAGACTGAAGTTTCTTCAGTTTTCAGCACCTCCCACTCATCCAGGCTGCACCTCTCCTGGCTATGTTGAGTGTCCAGGAGACAGGATGCCCTGGGGAAACTGCTCACCCTCACTGTCCATGTGGGATGCTCAGTAGAGCACGGCAAAACCTCCAGGGGCAGGAGGAAGGAGCAGCAGGGGAGTTGGCTGCCTGGGATGGCTTGGGTCTGGGCCAGGGTAACTGTCCTTTTTCCCTCTCTCTACAGCCCAGAATCTAAGCCTGGAACCCAAGGCCAGACTCCTGGCAGAGAATACAGCTGCTTTGCTCAGGTGGGATGCTTGAGTAGGTGAGGGGGGGGCAGGGATTCTGAGCTTCAGTGACTGGCACCAAGGCTATTCTCACACTCAAGGTCCTGGAACTCTGACCTATTCTGCTGGGGTATGGGGGGGGGTCCCTTGCCTTTGAGATCCTTCAGCTACCCCTGGGAAATAGGAAGCCCTACACCCCTACTCTGGGTACAAACCCCATTCACAGTTGTGATGGCAGAGCCCAGGCTACAAGGTTCTCTTTCCCCACAGATATGACTGTCACCTCCCAGAACCTCACTCCACTTTGGCTCTGCCTGCCCCATCCTCCACATTGAGCCAGACCCAGCAGATGGCCAGCTCTGCCACAGAGGCTGTATAAGACCTTTCCTGCTCCAGCCAGCCCCAAGGGAGGAGGTATCCCAGGCTTCCCTTGCACATTACTAGAAAGCTCCCCTTCTTTCCTCTTCAAACAATGGTGTTCATTTGCAGCATAGCCAAACCATCTGCCCTTGCTCATACCCTGCTCTATCTCTATTCTCTCTGACTTCCCAGCCCTGCTCCCGAGGTATAAAGGGCCAAGATGTCAGCATTTCCCTGAGATTATAGACCAAGGGCAAGAAATGCAAAGGCTAGGAGAGCATGGCAGGTTGAGGCAGAGAAACACAGACTCTTTTTTGCAGGTCCTTAGCCTCCTATAGATCCTAGCATAATTCTGATATATAACTACCTTACCCACATCTTTCCCACCTCCAAATCAGTGGAGAGGACACTTGAGGTGGGAGATCACGGGAGAGAGATTGGAGACAGACAGTGTGAAATCCTCCATTCAGGGGACCCCAGGCCCAGTATCAGTCTGTATGTCACATACAACCATGTGCCCTATAACAGGAAGCAGCTGGCTATGGTCTCTGGTGTAATTATCCACTCGTACTCCTGCAGAGCCCATGGGTTCCAAGTTTAGGTGATGTGTTGCTGAAGGGACTTGTCCTAGACACAGTGAATTCTGGGACTACCAGGATAGCCATTTTTTTTTTCTGCTCTGTGACTCCAGACACATGCCTAGAGAAGGATCTGAGAGTCACTTGGTCAGGTCTGGCAGCTATAGCAAGTTGAATCATGAGAATCAAGGAAATTACCTCCCATTCTTTCTACAAAACTGTTGTTGCCTGTCAGCTTCTAGAAATAGCTTCTAGAAGGAGTGTTCCAAGAGAGGCCAGAGAGCTTGATGACTGCTCAGGGAAGATTCTGGGATGGCCAGTTCCTATCTCTCTTTCTCTCTCTCTTCTTTCAACAGGCCTGGGCCTTGAAGTGAACCCCAGGGCAATACCAAACCTCCAGGTGCCACGTGAAGACTCTATCTGGGGAACCAGTGACAACTATCAGCACAAGGACATCCCTACCCTGGCTGCTTCTGGGATAGACAGTTCCTGTTAGATGTATCCCATCATGATCACAAGCTGCTAGTTATCTCACTGTTACTAGTCTCTTTCTTTGGTTCATCTGATCCCAAGTCTGGCAACCCCTACCATGTGGCAAGAAACAGTCCCTTAACTGGACTGTGGCCTCACCTCAAGATCCCTGCATGGGTGAAGAGGTCAGCCTGGGAGTCTGCTAACCTAGGCAAGGCCAGAGCTACAGCATTAGTGACCCCTGGACTCCACTGGTCTCCACTCTGCTTAGAAAGGGTGACCCAAGCAGATGCCCTGCTCCTTGAGGGGAATCTGCACTGATGAGCTCACTACACCAGGTACCTGGGGAGATGATGTGTCAATTTGCTTTTTAAGCCAGTCCTGACCATATGCAACTAAGAGCCTGGGATGACAGATAATTTCAGACAGTACTTCCTATTTGCAAGAGCCGCTGTAATACATAAAGTGCTCCACTTTACTCTGTCCATTTGGCCACTTTATCCCCATCTCTACCCATTGCTGTCATGGAAATGTTGAGCCCCAAATCCCATCCCCCTTGGTAAAGAAGGTAGCCCTGGTCCTCTCCATGTGGAGACTGGTCCTAACTACAGCTATAATGATCTGGGCCCCTCACTCCCAGCCTTCTGAAGGAGGAAGGGAGTCCAGCCTCTCTGCTTACAGGCTTCAGCCTGGATGCTGTGGATAGAGTCATTGCTTGGCTTCACTGCCACCTCTAGATGATCCTCAGAATACACCTTGGTTGAGCTATGCATGGACATCAGAGCTCCAGAACATTTGGTGATGCTCAAAGAGTCAAAGCTGGCAGGCACCAGGTGGGAGCCCAGCCAGTGCACCTCCCTGGTATCACTCAGGTCTGTGTTGCTGCTTCTGTCTCCGCCGATGCACGGCCTGGTGCAGGGCCTCCAGCAGCCGCTCCTGGTTGTTGCAGATATTGTAATGTGTCAGGTGAAGCAGCTTGTCTGTGTCCTCTGGGCTGTAGGTCACTTTTGTGTAGTGGTATGGGGAGTCAGAAGGAGAGAGGTTGACCTCCCCAGCTGCCTTCTCTGCAGGTGTCCGCCGCACCCCTGGGGAGAGAGCGCAGCCTAGCCAGGGAGGGAAAGGGCTCTGGAGAGGTAGGTCTAGGGTCACTTGAAGAGAGACAGGAAGGATGCAGGTAGAGCGTGGCTTACCAGGGGCTGAGTATTCCTGGAAGGAGTCATTGACCAGAGGGAAGTGCAGCACAGCAGGGGCTTCAGGCTGGGCAGGGTCAGAGAAGGCATGGCACTCCTGAGGCTGGTGCTGTTCTTCTGGACTGAGTGTGATGGGTGGGAATGGGATCCCCTGCTTCTGGCAGAACCGGCCCAAGAGTTGCAGCTGCTGCAGGGCAGGTAGAAGGCATCAGAAGAAGCAAGTTCTCCACAGTGGGGAGTTAATAGTCTGTGTTCCATTCCACATGGTGTCACTGCCATGCCTCCTAAGGGAAGCTGGGCCAGACATTTACTGAACTCCAAAGCAGATCTTGCCAGGGGCCAAGACAGGCCCAGCTGGAATTGGCCCACCACTTCCCACTCCTGCCCCAACCTTCCAGTCCTGTAAGAAGTCCCACCCACCCCACTCCCAACCTGAAAAGCTCCATGGAGATTGTAGTCCAGTGACAGGATGAGGTCCACATCCCGGGTGGGCTGCAGGAGGGGTGGGCAGCTAGTATTGACAAAGTAGCCGACATCCAGCAGGCAAAGGTGGGGCTCCATGGGTGTCAGCTGATTGGGGAGCCCATCCAGTTTGGTAGCTGCAAAAGTGTGGGGATGGAGCAGGAGAAATAGCAGCAGTCACTGACTCTGAGGGCTCCTCAGGGCTGACAACAAGTCTTGACACTGGTAAGAGGAGAGACTGTGTCCCTGGGCCCCTGCTCTCCTGCTAAAGAAGCACCCCCACAACCTGAAACCTCCAACCCAAGGAGAGAAGAAAGGAGTCCCTGCACCCCACAGCCAGGGCACTGGTCTCAAAGGGTGTGGTGCCAAGGAGAAAGAAAGGCGAGAGTACAGTGGGTGCTGCAGGGCTCAGGCTTGATGGCTAAGACTAGGGCAAAGAAGCGGATACCTTTCCAGGTGGAGAAGTGAGGATGATGGAAATAGTCCTTGTGGAAATGGAGGCCACGTAGGAAATTATGAGTGGCCTGGGCAAGTGGGCGCCTCGTCAGAAGGTCAGTGAAAAACTCAGCAATCCTGCCAGCTCTTGTGGGTGGTTCTTCTATCTTCAGATGGGGCACCTGCTCCTTGTCTATACAGGCAGGGGTAGGAGGAACCTTTATCCCAGCCCCTGTGATGACCCTGGAGGGAAACAGTTGAGGCCCCCAAAGACCCAAGAGCCACCTCCACCATGCCCCAAACATTTCCCCAATTGGCTGCCCCTTTGCATCCTATAAAGGAACCCAAGCACCTACCCAGGCTGGCCTGATCCTGGGCCCAGCGGTCCCAGAACTGGCTGGGCTCTGAGGCCCAGTACAAACTGTCCTGGAGGCTGGCTGCATATAGATTGCTCCAGATACCTGAGAGAGGGACAAGAAGGGAAGAGTCCTCTATCCCCATCACAATCCTCATGGCCCCTCCTAGACCAGGAAACTTCCCAGTGACTAAGCTGGCCAGGCTGAAGACCCACTCTCCCCACTCCACCCAGTTCTCCAGCCTGGGTGGAGAAGATGTTGCTCACCTTCCAGGTAGCAGATGCGGGACTCTGGGAGCTGCTTCACCAGCTGCCCCATGAAGAATTCAGAGCCGAAGAGCTCAGAGGGGATGAAGGCCCCATACTTGGGGAAGCCGACCTCATAGGGGGAGAACTCGCACCACTCTGTGAGGAGGCCATACACTCAGCCATGGGGCATGGGACCTTCAGACACCCATATATCCACTATGGATTTCACTTGAGGACAGCCTGGTGACTAGGAGGCTCAGACCTTGTAGCTGTGACTTTAAGTGCACAACCTAAGGCCCTTGCTTCATCCAAAGGCCTGGTAAGATGACAGTCTCTGGGAAATGGCCAGCAGATGTCGGTGTAAGATCCACCTCTTATAGGCCAGGTTATCCCTTATCCCACCATCCATAAGAGCATATATCTCAGCTCTGAGGCCACTCACCAGCAAATTCAAAGGTTGTCAGGTTCTGCCCCTTAGTGTTGAGGGCACAGTAGATGGGCAAAGGATTCTGGCCACGACTCAGGGCTTCCCTTTGATCTGAGAGTTTGTGGTCACAAGGCTGGGGAAAGATGATCAGCACTAAGCCTATAGCTCCCTGGTGCCTAAAGCCTTTCCCACCCTTTACCAGGGGAGAGGCTCAAGTTCTGAACCCTGCCCTGGCTTTGCACCCCATCCAGGGTCTACCCCCAACACCTCATCATGCAGTAGCGCCTCATTAATGAGGGCCCACAGGTTGGTGAAGCAGGTTGGGTGACCCAGGCGGGCACGCTCAGCCAGCTCCTGCCGATACCACTGCAGCCGGCTGGGAGCCAGCACACCCAGCTTGCTCTTCGTCACTTGGGTCTTCAGCAACTCGGTGGGCCCTGCCAGGTCCTTCTGAGACCATTCTGGGTCCTCATAGAGGTTGGCCAAGGCCCTGAGAAAAGTCAAAGCCCAGGGGAGGGGGGATGTCACTTAAGGATCCCATCCAGACTTCACATGCCTTAAACTTTCTCTTCTAGGACAACAGGTACCTCTGGCAGGCACCTTTGAGAGAGCCTGGGAGCATATTTCTCCCTAGCACATGTGTTTTCCCAGCCCTTCCAGTTTGCTCAGAGCCTCTGGGTCCTAGGAGCACCTTACCACTAGCACTCCCTCCCACAATACAACCAGCCACACATGGGCTCCAGCACTCAACTTGCTATCAGCTCACCAGGTGGAGCCTGAGGCCCCTGTGATGTAAGAGATGCAATCCAAGAGGCCCAGCTCCTTCAGGGCAGCCAGCTGCCCATATAGGGAAGTCATTGCCCGGATCCCTCCGCCAGTGGCCATAACAGCTACCACTGGGATCTAGAAGAGAGGACAGTCAGGCTTGGAAAGGCCTGAGGGATGGAAAAAGCCATGCAAGAAAACATGTCAAGGGGCTGGGGATGTGGCTCAAGTGGGAGCGTGCTCGCCTGGCATGTGTGAGGCACTGGGTTTGATCCTCAACAACTCATAAAAAAAGTAAAGATACTGTGTCCACCTAAAACTAAAAAATAAATATTAAAAATAAAAAAGAAATCAGATCAAGGAATCATTCAGCTTGCTTCACAACTAAGACCAGTCAATATGTGACAGGGGGACTTGGGCCAGCTCTGATTCAGAGAGGGCCTCCTGAGGGCTGGGCTTCTCCAGTTATGAGGGGTCAGGGCCTGACAGATGCTAGGCCAGCCCCAGCCCCTAAGTTTCTGGGATCACTTTCTGGAAGCCTCAATACAAACTCCAAAGTCTCCCTCTATTTGCTAGATGTCATTCCCCCACTAGATGACCCAGACCCGTGGGACTACCCATGCCAGGAGGCCATCCTTATATTAGCTATCTTGTCACTAATCAGTTAGATAGGACCTATTCCAAAAACTTGGACCAGGGTAAAGACCAAGAAATGAAGAGAAGGAAAGCCAGCCCATGCAAAACACTGCACTTATAGCCCCTGACTATGTCAAGCAAGAGGAAACAGGGCAGGGCAGGTGGCAGCCACAGATGTAGGTTGGCACCAGCTCTGGGCTCCTTATAAACAATCAATCTGTGTTCAACCCAGGGCCCAAGCAAGCCCAGGGCTGCCCCAACCAAATCTTGCCCAGACCCATACCTCATCCTCACGCAGGTCTCTATCCAGCTGCAGGGCCTGTTTCAGGGCCCCAGCTACCACCTGCTTCCTCCTGTTCAAGAAGGCCTGCTCCTCTGCACAGGGCCTGCAGCCCAGACGCACAGCCAGCTCTTGTGGGCTGAAAAAGGAGGAAAAGTCTGTGAAGCAGCTCCCAACCACAATAGAAAAAGGGAATGCTGGGCTTGCCTCAACATAGCCACTAAACTCTCAAGATTCCCCGTTCCTCAATGCACACCACCACTCCTATGTGCTCAGAAGCCTGACATTGTGAAGTGTGACAGGGAGTTGAGGAGTCCAGACCCACACATGGACACTCACATGAGCCTGGGAATACAGGGACTGAAAGGGCCACTTAGGCCCCCAATGCAGGGACCCGAAACTGTGAATCCTACTTCCAAGGCTCATCTTCTCTCTATTACCCACCAACTTCAAAAACGACAATAGAGGGGGCATGAAAGAAGGTCCAATGCCCTCCTCCTCTCATGGTGAGAAGTTACTTCCCAAGACAGAGAGGGCTGATGGCAACTCCTCCTAAGAAGGCATTTAAGGGGCTGGGGTTGTGGCTCAGTGGTAGAGCGCTTGACTAGCACATGTGAGGCTCTGACTTCAATCCTCAGCACTACATAAAAACAAATAAGTAAAATAAAGTTATTGTATCCATCTATAACTAAAGATATTTTTCAAGGAAGTTTAAAAAAAAACATTTTAAATTAAAAAAAAAAAAAAAAAAAGAAGGAGGCATTTAAGGTCCATCCACAATGGCTCCCACCCAAACAGCACAACTTCCTGTTTCATTTTCATTGCCTTCTCTGTGCCTCAAGCCCTGCTACTATCCTCACCTCCCCACCTGTTTTTTTAGCCAAACATTTATTTATCTAGGGCCCAGTGTCAGGCACTGGCACCCCTCAAACTAGAGCAGAAACAAATATAAAAACAGTTAAGAAAATAAGCTTTTTGAGGCTTCCTCTGGCACTTCGTGCTCTATCTGTGAGGGACGCCGTGCGGAGAGGTGCAACTGTGCTGCAAGCTCCCCACCTCTCCCTGTCGCTCCTGCAGGCCAAAGGCCCAACCTTCACCACCCCTACCTGGTTGCTTTCCCAAGCCCCAGCCAGGCCTCTCACCCTTCTTCTTTCTTCAGTTCCACCCTCAGTAAGGGTTCCTGGAAACCATGAAAACCCCATCACAAAGGTTGGCCACCTCTGTTCGGCCCTTCCTCTCACCGGGCCCTAGATAGCCCCATACACCCTCAGGCCCCCAACCAACTCCATAGGGGCCACCCTCTTACCCAAAGCCTGGCCCTAGCACTTATTCAGGGCACAGCCTGAGAAGAAATGTAGCTACAGAAGCAGGCCTCTCCCTTTAAGGAAAGGGCTGGGGTCAGTGCCAGCCCAGTCTGTACCTTGAGCTTTCCTTCTCTGGGTGACCAGTACCTGTGATGTAGGAAAGATGAGTCTCACCAACTGGTCAGTAGGCAGGGTCTGTAGTGGCACCTTCAGTTGTTCCTGAGGGTCATTCTGTAGGGGAACAGAGAAAACCCATGAATCCTTATACCCTCCCTGTCAGCAAGAACCCCACCAACTCCCCTTGGCAGCGAAAAAGGAACAGGAGGGAGGGGAACAGGAACCCCATATACTCTACCCAGGGGGCTGCCTGCCTCTGTCAGGGAGAAGGGTAAAGGAAGTGGGGTACAGGCAAGCAGAGGTCAGGCTGGGAGGAGGTGCAGAGGGAGTGAGGGTGGCCTTGGGGACCCAGCTTCTGGGAATGAGGCCATTACCTGTAGATGGATGTTCAGTTCCTGCTCCCAGCAGGCTGGGAAATGGAAACAGAAAGAGCCAGTGCCCACAGAGGCCTCCTGAAGACCCTCACAGGCCCCTGGAACTACAAGCTGAACTCTGGTCTCTGACCCTGCAAACAGGAAATAGAGCAGAGAGGAAAGTGCTAGGATCTCTGCCCAAGGCATCTCTCACTATTCCTGGAGGGCATTTCCTTCTCTCCGAAATGGAGGGTTGGTTGGTCCAGGTTGGATGTTGGAGCCCACACCACACTCTTGAATACTAGGTGGAAAATCTTGGCTCCTGTGAAGCCCCAGCACAGACTTATTCTCTAGCCCTTATTCCTGCCTTTGGGAACTGAAAGGCAGCTACTGCCTTCCCCTTAGAAAGGAGGAAGATAAGGAATAAAGATGGAGGGACTTGGGGCTAGGGTTGTGGCTAGTGCTTGCCTAACATGCATGAGGCACTGAGTTCGATCCTCAGCATCACATAAAAATAAATAAATAAAGACATTGTGTCCACCTACAACTAAACAAACAAACAAACAAAAAGATGGAGGGACTATCCCAGTAGGTTGGGAACTCACCCTTCTGGTCCCCAGTCTTTTCCAGCTGAACATGCAAGCAGGAGAGCTCCCGGGCCTGCGTTGTTAAGAGAGCTCCTCAGCTATCATCGTCACCCCTGCTTGAGGACTCCACCCTCCCAGCACCCTGCCTCCTCCTCTTCAGCACTTCATTACCTTGGCTCCCAGTTACCTAGCATTTGCTTGAGATTGTACTCCCTCAAGGCACTGACACCCCAAAGCTTCCCAGCCAGCTTACTCTGACCCAGGCAGCCATGGGTATGAAGAATAAGAAGATGCATGAGGGAACCTGGGGACCCCTAGTCACCCCCCAAGCACCATTCCTGACTCACCACCAGGATGCCATTGCTGATAAGCTGCTCCACGCAGTCTGTCCTGGAAAGAGCCCCCAGTGACCCTTTGCAAGAACCCAGGTTCTCACCCCCTAGAGTCCTGGGCAATACTTCTCCACCAAGGAACGGTGCCAGCTCTGGGTGGCACTGTCATTCCCAGAAGGAAGCATTCCCACCTGGGACTGCCCCATGGCCCAACTCACAGGCTCTGCAGTTGAAACTCAACTTCCAGCCGCTCCTCACCCTGGGGAGATAGAGAAACAAGTTAGAAAGAATGAGAATAGCAGTGTGTGTGTATTTGTGTGTGTATTTGTGTGTGTATTTGTGTGTGTGTGTGTGTGTGTAGATTCCAACCCAGACACCAGCTAGGGATGCTGAAGTAAAGGTGAAGGAAGGGGTCTGAGGGAAGGGCCATTGTCCCTCTCCAGGCTACTCTGTCCACATTCCTTGGGCTGTTCCAAGAAAGCTGTTCTTTGGTTCAGAAGGCAAGAAAGGATGAGGAAGGTCTACTCCTTGATGAAAAGTCACTCCTAACTGGCAGAGGCCTCTGGGATGTGACAGATACCTGGGCCAGCTACTCTCCAAAGTATCCCCTTTCCCAGGTTGGAGAGCCCCTGCTGCCTTGAGTACAGCCTTGCCTGTGAGCTCAGCGAGAAGCTCTGGTGACTGAACTCCCCAAGCTGCAGGGTCCCCACATCAAAAAGCACTGACAACACTGGGTCATCTTTGGTCAACAGGTCCTGGTCAAAGACTTTTAATTCCATGATATTCTGGAAAGGAAACAGAATAAGAAGACTACAGAAAGGAGGGTAAGATGGAAAAGGGGGTAGGGCAGGCAATGAGGGCCTGGGAGAGGACAGGTAGCAGTGGCTTCAAGGGGATGGTGAGTAGGGCTGGATTTGATGCCTGGCCACCTTGAGCTGGCTGTGGATTCGGAAGTGAAAGCTCTGATTCCAGATGGGGTTTCTGCTGTTCTTGACTGTGCGTGTCTGAAACCTGTGGCTGGAGGCCGTGGGCAGCCACAGAGTCACATAGCAATCAGAGGGGGTCACTGCAGGGAGGATGAACAAGTGCGTAGTGATGGCCAACAGCCCTTCCCAGCCCAGCCACCAGAGTCTCCATCACTCATGTCTAATGGGTGGCCCCACTGCCACCGTCTACTCAGAATCTCCTCCCAGCACTCTATTCCAGGACCCCTCTTCCTATCTCTTCCCACTGACACTGCCCACTGAATCCAGCTGTAGTACTCTCCACTTTCCTTGGCCTAGCACAGGGCCAGGGGAACAGCACACTCACCTAAGTCCTTGGAAGGCAGACCATGGGCCTGCAGGACCCGCACAGTGAGCAGGCAGGTGCCAGGCACCTTTGCCTACAGAAGAGGGAAAGGGGACAGGTTTACTGCAGGTAGATGAGGCCAACAATGTCAACGTCCATAGGGGAAGCTGTCGCAGTCCCTCGAGGCCTAATCCTGAATCAAAAGGATCAGGCTCAGGCCCACCCTCCACCCCTTCAGACTTCTGATTCCGTAGGAGATATGGTATCTCCTTGCTGACATCTGCCCACATCTATATAATGCTGTGTCCAGCTCTGTGCCAAGGGTTCTATATACATGAACTCATTTGTCACATGACTACCCTATGCAGGGGCCCTATTAGGATCAATCCATAAAGAAACTGAGGCATGGAGACGTAGCTGCTTGCCTGGGGGAGATCTAGTTGCCAGGCTAGTTCTAATTTAAGCCCCATACACAGGTACTTCTATTTCCTGAATACAGCATCCTTGAGTCTTTCCATCCCACAGCCTCACCACACACCCCAGCTAAGCAGCTTTAAGTCTGGTCTCAGGCAGATTGGGATGTAAGCTATCAAGGGAGATGAAGGGGTATGTCAGGGCCTTGGACATCATGGATGAGCCATTTCCCATACTGTCCACCCCATTCTGGAAATGGGCTCTCTGCTCTATAATGGTCTCCAGAGAGCTCCCTCCAAACACACTCCTTGTTTAAGGTTTATAAATGCTGGCTAGTAGCCAGGGCAGAGAAAGCCTGTGCCAACTAGCACTTCCCGCTGGTTTTCAGTTCTGCCTCTGGAAGGGTGCTGACAGATCAAGTCCAGGAAGCTACCAAGGTCAGGATCAGAGATGGGGAAGTTCATCCACCTGTGGCAGCCTGGGGCTCTCACATCCCAAGCAATTGAGTCAGAAGGAGCATCAAGCAGCCACTTCCTTCTGGGGCCCCAGGACAGGAGCTGGGAGCCTCTGAGTTCCCAAGACCCAAATCCCTGTGGTCAACCTGGAGCCATTTCCAGGACAGAAAGAACTTGGGGTAGTCCCTCACCCAGGTCACTGCTTCTCCACTGGCTACTACTAACTGGTCTCATCTTGCAACCAGCAAATATTCCTTGCTAAACCTCAAGAAGACCAGAGCTTTTCTAAGAAACAGCAATAATCAGACCCTGGATGGGGATCTGGGTTTGAGGTGAGGGCCCAGTGCCCTGGAAGGCCTTACCAGAGCCATGAGGCCAAGTTCTCAGGAGCAGGAATGATGAGGCAGCAGCCACAGGACCAAGGACTTCCAGCTTTTAACCCAGAGACAGGGTGCTCTAGCTAGCCCCGAGCACCTCCCCAGCCCCTCCCATATGCCTCTTTCACTCCACCCAAGGCCAACACCCACCACCTGTCCAGGAAATGAGGCACCTTAAGCATGTCCCAGAGCCACTGACACCCTCTTGTGTCAGTCCTGGTTCCCCGAGGTCCCACTCTGCAGCCATCACCATCTGGGCCTGCCCCAGTCAGCCCTGACTTAAAGGAGGAAGCTCCGGGAGAGGTGCTGTCAGGTGTTGAGCAGAAGGAAGGCAGACAGTGGGTTCCACAGCAGTGGTGAACAGAGGAGTTGAGCATCTTCAGCAGTAGGGTATTGTGCAACCTCCCAGCACCAGTAAGACAGGAATGCCCAGACCTGACTGGAGCTCTTTGCCAATCTGAGAGGAGTACCCTAGGCTCCATCACAACTGGCAAGGGGTGTGGCTGTCACATAAAATAGCCCTTCAAAGCCATGTCTGGATTGCCTCCACCCTTGGAGTTGGGTGCCGTGGATAGGGCTGGTAGGTTGGCATTCCTGCTCTTCAGATGGGTGCAGAGGGAGGCTGGGTGTGGAAACCAAATCTTTCCTCAGAGGGATGGTCCCAGGAGGGGTAGGGTTTTTGTCCCTTCCCACCAGTGCTTGTTGTAGAATAGAGGTTACCCTAGGACAAGAGATCCCACCAGCAGCCATGGAGCCAGGGGACAAGAGCAAACCAGGCCAGGGTAAAGCTGCAAATAGCATTAGAGGCCTTCAGCCAAGGAGGACGCAGTCAGGCAGTTACAAGACTGAGGTCAGTCCATTTTTCCCATTGAGGGACTGCACAGGCTGTCACAGACAAGGGGTCTGGGTAGCAAACAGCTTCCCATGCCTGGATCTGGCCCATAGCCCCAGTCAGGGTTACCCTGAAATTTTCACCTAAACCCTCAAACCCTCATTGGGCCACAGGAAACTACTGTGACAGGGAGTATCAGAACAAATGACTCACAGCTACCTTTTTTTTTTTAGAGAGAGAGAATTTTTTAATATTTATTTTTTATTTTTGGCGGACACAACATTTTTGTATGTGGTGCTGAGGATCGAACCTGGGCCACACACGTGCCAGGCGAGCACGCTACCACTTGAGCCACATCCCCAGCCCCTCACGGCTACCTTTTATTGACCACTTCCTTTGTGCTGGTCCATGCTGGACCTTACAGATATCATCTCCATCCCTGTGTGGTAGAACCATTATTATCTCCAGTTTATAGCCAGGACACCAATGCCAACAGGTGGTGACTTGCCCAGAGTCTCAACACTGGTAAAAGGTGCTGTAGGACCTGATCCCCACTCCTCCTCACCTGTGTGGCAACTTCCTGGGCACGCTCACTCAAACCTGCCTGGCATCTCCTAATCACATCCCAAGATCATATCCCAAGATCATCCAAGGCTGATTCCAAATTAAGCTGGACCCTGAGCAGCAGACAAGTACTTAAACTCCAGGTGGTCTCTAGAATTAAGCCAGCAGCCTAGGAGGGGCTCAACCTTTCCCTCAAGATGTCCTTAGCAGTATTCACCAGTGGTACATCAGTCAAGGACTGCAGCCTTAGTTAGGGAGTCGAGCAGCTGGAAATAACTGTACTTGAGGTCATATTCCATGTCATACCAGAAGTTCACTGTGGGGAGAACAGAGATCTAAACATGAGGGTCCCTCTTTTAATCCTGAGCCCCCAATCTCTTCCAAAGATGCCCTACTGGGCCTTGACAGGGCTTTCCCTTGGGTGCCCTGTGTGTTCCTCACCAGCAATGCAGCCATGGGACTGCTGGACATGGTGGAACCATAGAGATGGCAGGTAGAGCAGTTCACCAGCCCGCACAGTACAGCGAAGGGCCTGTGCCTGACTGTAACAGGGGTACTGGGTCAAGTCTGGAGCCAGTGGGTCCAGTGGGATCCAGGGCACCTAGGGACACAGCAATTTTCAGGAAACAGGCCCTAAAGTTCCAGGTCCTCCAGCTCTGTCCCTTCCCAAGCTGAATACCATGAACCCTGCTCTACTTAGCATGGAAAAGCCCCATACTTACAATTTTTCAGAGCAAGGTATCACCTCCCCAGACCTTTTGTGCTTATCCTCTGGGGCTCAGGTTCTTGCTCCTTCCCCTCCCCAGAACCCAGGAACAGAACAGACACCTTCTCCATGGCTTCTTCATCCACTATCTTAAAGGTACCCTCTTCAGTTAGTTGGTAGGTTGCAGGTGTGTACAGTTCTAAAGCCCAAGGGAGAAAGTTGTGGGGAACCTCAAGTGACCCACAGCTTGCCAGTTCCTCCCAGCACATATGTTCCCTAGGTACAGGGTCCAGAGGGTTGGGAGTCCTGGTGCACCTTAGGCCTGTGGTCATGTTTCAGGCCTAGGCACCAGCCTGCCCTGGGATCTTGCTGTCCTCCCTCCACCGCAAGCCACCTGTTCCCCCAAAGCCCCCTCCAGGCCATGTTCCCTACCGTAAGGGATGAAGGGCCGGTCACTGGGTGGATGTAACAGAAAGTGTTTCTCCCCTGAGACCACACAGTACAGGTTCTCATAGTGGTCCTTGTGCACTGTCAATGTAAGTAAAGCCTGGAGGTGAGGTTGGAGGACAGACGGGAGCCAACCACCTCAACCCTGAAGCTCAAGACTGCCTATGGCAAAAGGAAGAGATCATAAAGGGTCATCTGGCTCAAGGAGACACCAAGGATGCTGGTGGACGTTGCAGAACTCAGCATACCAGGGAACAGATCTGGTCAGGCCCTGGGCTCACCTCCACCAAGAGGGGAAGTGGTGCTATCAGATTTCTCCTAAATTCCCTCCTGACCTAGTTGGCCTTCTGAGAGCTTCTAGGGATCAACAGGAAAAAACAAATGGTGCACTCTGGTCTCAGTACCATGGGTAGCTACCCAACTCAGCTGTCAGGGGAGACCTTCTGTGGTGCCGGAGTCCAGAATCCCAAGGGAAATGTGAAAGAAGAGCCAGCCTATCTTCAGTCCAGCCCAACCTTCCTCACCCGAACTCATCTTCCCTTCCTCTGCCCCTCCAGCTTGTTCACCAACACCTACAGGATGTCACTGCAGCTGCCTCCCCCAGCCAGAAGTTCACAGCATCAGGCATCTTTCCTGTGGGGCAGATGGCAAGTTAGGAAGGACATGCTAGCTGGGCCAACACACAGGCATACTAGGCAAAAAGCTGGGTGGGAGTGAAGAAATCTCAAGGAGAAGAGGAAGAAGTTGGGAGTGCTTCCTTATTCATTTATTATGAAATCAAGGCCTGAGGCAGGCAGGTGGGCAGCACTTGACCACACAGGCCCAAGTGTGTGGACCAAATAAAAATCAAAGGGAGAGAATGAACAAGCAAACTGATCCCTTCCTTCCCAGATTCCCTGCCCTGCCTCCTGGTCAGAGATCACCTTGCACCCCCCCTTCCCCACCTGCCTTCACTCACCCAGTGCCTCAGAGGCCCAGGGTACATGAGGCTCCAGATCAGACAGCAGTTGGGGCAGCTCAGTGGGCAGGTTGGAACACTGCTTCTGCACATAGAGGACTCCTGGGTGTTGGGCCTGGCCCTCCAGAACATCCAGTACATAGCTGAGGGGCAGGCGGCGCTCAGCAGGCATTACAAATCGGTCCCCTCGCACTGCATCTGCATAACCATCTGGAGTCACAGCCACACTCACCTCTGTGGAACCCACTGTGGCTCTGGAGGAATGGATACTCAGCTCATGCCCAGTTGTCAGTAATCACTGCCCATCCACCACCCCAGGGAGGCTCCCACCTTAAGTAGGGGAGGGACCACTTCTGGAGAGCTGACCAGTGCTTCAGGGCATTTCGAATAATGCATGGCCTGTTGGGGCACACCCAGTCCCGATAGAAGTGGAGTGGAGTAGGGGGCTCATCCAGGTAAGGCACATCAAGAGGCACACTGAGCTCTGAGAAAAAGAGGGAAAGGCGGGGGGTGGTGGTGGGGAGGCTGAAGGCAGCAGCATTCAGTCTTTGTCCCATTTCCTGCATAAGAAATACCCTCCCTAGGAAGGCCATACTAAGCCATGCCCACTGGTGACCAAAGGACCCTAGACAACCAGGAATAGAAGTTGAAGTGAGAAAGCATAAAGTAACACACACGAAGATGGGCCATCATGGGCTGCTGCTCAGCCTATGACCTAAATCCTACATGGGTCCATGTATTGGCTTTATACAGTAGACCCTCGGCTTCCCCATAAGGAGGGCAAATTTTCCAGCATCCATTTGGAAATGGAGCCACAGAATTGGTGGTGGGAGGTCTAGAATGACTACGGACAAGGCCCAAGGCCATGGCTTGGCTGGGGATGAGACTCTAGAAAGACCCCTTCAAAAGTGACACATCTGAGCACCTGGAATGTGTTCACACTTGGCCTGGTCAGTGTGGATATCAAAGGATTATCCAATAATCATCTCAAGCAGCTTACAATCTACCTGGGGTGAAAAGACACCAGATGAAATAGGGGCTAAACTGTGTTTTGGGTCTCACTGAACAGCAGCATCATCCTCAGATGCCCAGGGCCACCATGTATATTTGAGCAGCTTACACAATGTGTCCCCTGTTTGGACGTCTACAGTGGTCCTACATCACCCTTAAATGCAATCTATTATTTATGACTCACCCTTAGTTGCTCCTGTCATCCTACTATTTCTCAAAGCCACTATCTCTTTCTTTCCTCTGCTACTTTGGGTCCTCGTTAAAAAATTACAATATTGAGGATTCCTTCCCTGAGCACTTTTTTTTTTCTTTTTGCAGTACTAAGGATTCAACTTGGAAGTACTCCACCACTGAGGTATATCCTCAGTCCTTTGGACGGTTTATTTTTATTTATTCTTTTGTGTGTGTGTGTGTGTGTAGGGTGGCGTACTGGGGATTGAACCCAGGGCCTCATGGCAAGCTAAGCACGTGTTCCATCACTGAGCTACATCCCCCCAATCCTGCTCTTTTAGACAATGTCTCACTCAGTTGACAAGGCTGGCTTTCAACTTGCAATCCTCCTGCCTCAGCACCCTGAGTTGCTAGGTTGTCCACTCTAAAATTGCAATCCGTTCCCAATTCTTAAATCCCTTATTTTTCCTTCTTGGTGTTTATCACCAAATGACATGCTATATATTTCACTTATTTAAAATTGTTTATTGGTATGTCTCCCTCGCAAGACTGAAAGCTACATAAGGTAGCTTGTCTTGTTCACTGATTCATCCCTAGTATTTACTGAATACCTAGCATATGGCAGGTACTCAGTAAATACTTGCTTAAGAGTTGAATGAAAGTCTCCAATATCTTGGCTGAATGATTTCTGCAGTGAATCATCAAACCATTCAACTGTTTTTTTCTGGCCTAATTCTACTCCCCCTCAGAGTATCCATTACCTGGCCCAGTCATTTGAAAATACAATCTGAACTCCTCACGCCCCTAGTAAAGAATCCTTTGATGGCTTACCACTATTCCTTACAGCATAATCTGCCTCTGACGTGCATTCAAGGTGCTCCATCATTAGGCCCAACCTATTTTTCCAGTTTGATTTGCTCCTGACTCCTGCCTTCCCCTTACCACACACCCTCTACTCAGGCAGTACCACACTTTGTTCCTGCTGCTCACTCAGACTAAATGCCTTTCTCCAGATTTTTACAAGAGCATAGGGCTTCGCTTTCCTCCTCCTTGGCCCCAATCAGTAGTTACTACAACCTGCTCCAATGACCATGTCATTCATTTTCACCTCTAAGGTCATACTCTACCTCTCATGCTGTGTCTTTATGCCAGTAATCCTTACCTTGAAATCAGTAAGAAAGCAAATGTCTTAAGATCAGAAACTGAAACTGAATGGGAAGACCTTGGTGGGCCCAAGAAAACTGAAAATGAAAAATCTGGCATGTGTGTTTATTTTTCGGTAGGGACAAGATGGGCTCTGCCATCTCCCAAGCAGTTACGCTGGGAGATGGGCTGAGGCTAGTACATCTCCCTGTTGTACTCATTAGGCTTTATTTATTTTTGCCTCTGCTGTTCTGGGAATTGCTTGCCTCATTCATGCCAGGCAAGCACTTTACCACTAAGCTACCCCACCGAGCCATGGGATTCATAAAACATGTGGAAACTGCCTTTTTCTTTTCATCCTTTGAATTTTTAACAATTGTATCAGATTTCCTTGCTTATCATTCCTTTAGAGAATGGCTATTTTTCTCTCCTGGGGCTTCAGAAAGAGAATTTCAAAGGGATCCAAACAATTCCTTTGACCCAACAGTTCTAAGAATTTAACCAACAAAAGTATTTGCACAGGGCTGGGGTTGTAGCTCAGTGATAGTGTGCCTCGCATACACGAGACACTGGGTTCAATCCTCAGCATCTCATAAAAATAAATAAAATACAGATATTGTGTCCATCTACATATATATATATATTTTTTTTTAAAGTATTTGCACTTGTGCACAAAAACTGCTCCAGACACTGTTCCCTGAATGCACCAAGCACTCTCCCACCTAAGGAGCTGCTGGCCCTGCACTTATCTTCTAACCAACTTCATGATTTACATATTCAGTACGGTTGTCTGTCACCTCACTTAGAATGTAAGCTCTAAGAGCTTGTTTTATTCGTGCAATGATGTACCGCAATATACTAAACAGAGCCTAGCACATGGAGGTGCTTAAAGAATATATTAAATGAAAAGTCAAGTATTAGTTGTAGAATTATTGAAAACAATAGTCTAAAAATGACTGACATGCCTATCAATAGTGGGCTGCTTCAGTGAATTTCACCATTTCACAGATGAATGAGATAGATGTGGAATGACTTCCAGGATGCACAATGCAGAAAAGTTTTTAAAAGGGTACAGACCTGTGTGCATGGATTTAAAAAGAATCTTCCTGGAAGAACGCAAGTGGGGCTGACAGTGGAAAGCTTATTTTATTTACATTAAAGACTCAGGTCAGGTGCCTATGTCGCTGGTCAGTGATACAAAATCATTAAAAATAAATAAGAAATAAGGAAGGAGAGAAAAAAGAAAAATCATTTAAAAACAGGCCTGGTGGTACAGGCCTGTAATCCCAGTAACTCAGGAGGCTGAGGCAGGAGGATGGCAAGATCAAGGCCAGCCTGGATAACTTAGTGAGACCCTATTTCAAAATAAAAGGGGTTCGGGCTGGGAATGTGGCTCAGGCATGCGTGCGCCCTGGTTCGATCCTTAGCACCACATACCAACAAAGATGTTGTGTCCACCGAGAACTAAAAAAAAAATAAATATTAAAAATTCTCGGGCTGGGGATGTGGCTCAAGCGGTAGCGC